AAAAAAAAAAAAAAAACAGCCACTCTGCTCACTGTGACAGTGTGCTCCTCAGGATGTCTAGTTTAGGAAGTTTTAATAGGAATCCTAAACTATTTGAACCGTAACTCAAAAGCCCAAAAAAGGGGGATGCTATTATAGGAAAGATGGGGGTGGCTTTTTAAGGGAGGGTGGAGGTGGAGCGGTGAGAGACAGAAGATGTCAGGTGGTGAATGCAGGCACTTATCACCTGTCACAGACACTTGGTGATAAGCCTGGCAGGCTGCTGTCAGTGGGGGGAAAAAATAGTTCTTGAAATCTTCCTCGTGCTTACTCAGATATTTCCCTGATTCTGTGTCTTTGAATATCCAGATATGCTACTAATCATTCAAGTGCACGCTCATGATTATTCATGGAAGTCTCTGAGCGTGTGACAGTGACAAATTCCCACCACCCACCAGCAAAGCGACTGCAGACGTGTTTGGCCACACTGTTGCCGTTTTTAGTTTTTAGGGAATCATCTCCGGCCGTGCTGTGATTGTAGATCTATCCAAGAAGGATTTTGGCTTTTCCCTCAGGAAATATGAAACGTCTAGGTTACTTCTAGGGTAGAGGGAAAGAGTAGGAGGTTGTTGTGGTTATAATTTATTTTTAAGAAGCACCAATGAAGACGTAGTAATTAGCAGAACCACTTTAACCTTCAATGAGACTCTAAGTAGCTGGAAATTGTAAAGCTACACAAGCTTGATGAGCTAAACTGCTATTATTATTATGATCAGTTAATCTAAGAGGGTCAGATCGTATCACTTATGTCATAACTTCAGCTGCCTATTATGCTGACTTGGTGAGACAGAGATCTCATTAAAACATCTTGTAAAAGGTTATTTTCCCCTCACAGTACCCTTGTGGATACGTAAATATCATCCTTTTCTTTGTGCCTGCTGCTGCATCCCCTTTCTGTGACGCCGTTCGACTTGTAGATGGTTATTCTGAGATGTCATTTAATGACTTTTATGAGGGAAAATGTCACATGCATTAAACAAGACCCAAGAGGATTCATCTCCAGAACTCCTGTCTCACAGCTATCCGCTGCCTGACGAATCGGCAAAACCACTACGTGTCATCAGTGGCCGCTTTAATTGCCTTGTTTCTAATTGAATTTCCTTTTAATTTGATGCATATGAGAAGTCATTTTCCACTGTGGAAATCAATGTCGAGGAATTTGGAGAAGTGTTCAATATCTATCACGCTAATCCTTGAGTTTGAAAAGCTCGAGATATTGGAATGAAATAACTTCAGACGCTCAACTCGATTGAAATTGGCAGCCTTGCATCATGGTGTGCTTTTGGAGTGTTTTTGAACTTTGTGGTGCATTCAAATGCTTCTTGAAAGTTAGTAAAGGACACTTATCCATCGTAAAATCACCAATTAAACAATTAAAAGTAGCTTAGTTACTTTATTGACTCATAACCTGGCTTAATTTCATGAGGTAATAAAAGATTTTCGCTCAGACAACAGCATGGAGATAAATAGGATTTGGAGCGTAGGAAGAGAAGGAGTGACAGCTGTGCTGTGTTTGCACCTGCTGCTGGCGACACTAAACAGGAATCAGTGATAAAAGCCAGAATGAACAACAATGCTGAGGACAGGCTTATGACTTACAAGTCAACGACATCCCGTGATCACTGATATGCCCAGTCAATGAAACATTCAAGAATGCTTCTATGTTCAACCATTTGGATTAGTCAAGCTGGTGTGAAAGCTATTTGTTGACTACAGTGTGAGCTAAACAATATTCCTGAAAAAGGAGGGTCTGAATTTACATTACAATGCACTAAACACGTATGAGCCAAAGCAGCAGACTTCAAAGAAGCATAATGGGCATGACTACTCGGCCGTCTGGTCTCCAGTTGTCCATAAAGGCTCAAGTCCACTCCTAAATTTTGTCGGTTTACCTTTCAAGGTTTTCTGGATCATGACCGTTAAACTTGGATTGAATTTTAGGGAAGTGAATAAAAAAACTTGGGCATGCCCAAAGTTTGGGGCACGAAAACTCAGGATGTTATAGTAGATGTTTTGACCCTGTGGGATAAATTTACAGTGCACAATCCAGTGGAAAAAAAGGAGGAAAAACCCAAACAAAAATAACAAGCATGCTCCTAGTGTTACTCCCAGCCTGACGCACTGCCTTTCAGCTTTTCCACTGAAAGCTGCTGTTTCCAGTCAGGTAAAAACAGCTGAGACACAGTGATCATCTCTGGGGATAATCGTCAACACAAAAGTCCAGCCAGTGTGAAATAGACACAGATTTTTTGCTCTTTAGCAAAGTTAGCCATCCATGGTAAAACGTTGTAAAGGTTTAGTTCTAATGTGTGTTTACTGAATCAAGCCGTCAAGCCTGATTTGTTTGTATAAAGCCAACCTTACCCTGAATTTTACTGTGGATGAATGTTTCACACTGCGCCATCTAAACTGTAACAGCTTTGTCATAAGTGTGCCATCACTTCACTTAGCTTTCTTTTTCCCCCCCCCCTGCCTTCCTACAGGACAACAAAAGGACTGACATTGCAAAGGGAATATTTTGAGGGGAAAGAAGTGAAGACAGTTAAATTTGACAATTCAGTTGTCCCCATCATGGCATTCATGAGCTGTGGATATGAGCACAAGCTGTCTAATCTCTCTGGTGATGGAAATACTGGCTGCCGTGTGTGTGTGTGTGTGTGTGTGTGTACAGAAGTCAGATTTTTGACGTTTTGTGAGTTCATGTGTATCCTATCAGTGTACTAGTTCTGTCTCGTCTGCGATGTACCATTCGACACGTCGGTGTAAAAAAACGTTTTATTGGTGATAGCTGCTTGCGAATGTGGTCTGCATAGAGATCGTGCTCTTTCTCCTAGTGTTTGTTTGTGTGGAGCAAATGTCAGCGAATCCCCTACCAGCCTTTGACAATTTAGGCAAATGTTTTGCAGGTCCTTAGTGCAGGAATGTCCCGGCATTAAATATGCCTGCTCAGGTGTGAAAAGGGTCACCAGTCTGCGTAGCCGTTGAATAGCGATGAACATCTGCGCACGAGGAGGGCTTATGCCATCCACTTCGCCGCTGCGCTTCTCTGTCAGCACTCGGCTTTACTTCCTGCCGACTGTCAGCAGAGAGCGAGCCATCGCAGAATCCACAGGGGAGCCTCTGCATTCTGAAGCAGACTTTTATTTTTAAAAAAAAGATCTTCCAGAAAACTCCTCAAACATCCCACGCAGATCTGAGTGTGGCTTCTGACAGCCAGGTGCCTCCTTGAAATATTATGCAGGCGTGCGCGCGCGCGCACACACACACACACACACACACACACACACACACACACACACACACACACACACACACACACTTAACGGCCACATCATGGCCAGAATAGCTCAAATTAAAAGAAGTGATTGGCAGGCGAAACAGCTATGTTTGATCATTCTTTTTAAATGTTTTTTTTTTTCCTTCTCCTACTGTTGGTTTTCCGACTGCTTTTATTTGTGTTAGGTGTGTGTGTGTGTGTGCATGCATGCTGTGGCTTCTACCTGAAGCAGAAATGTAAACAGAAGGTTTAGACTTCGTCCCCTCATGTTTATTATGGTATTTGAAAGGAAAGGTGGGTGTGTGTGTCTTTGTTGTTTCATTAAGAGTTCTGTGATTTATGATGTATTCGTAGCCTCTGTCTCCATTTCAGGGGTGATAACAAAAGAGATGCCAATATGAGCGTCCACAGTGTCTGTACTGTTCCAGTGATGATGATAAAAGTAATGTTAGCTTCTGTGTAATTCCACTTGTTTATCCTTTTGCTCAGTTTCTCTGTATGATTTTTGCATACCTTTCTTATTCAATGTTTTTTTTTCTATCTTGTTTTTTTGTGATAAGCCTTGAAAGTGTAGAAAGTATTTATGAGTGTGTTTAGACATCAGCAGTTGTTCTGTTTATGTGTCAGCTCATGATTTTGTGTATTTTGCACTGTTAAGTTTTCTCTTCTGTGTTTCCATTTTTAGTCATCAGACACAAACGACGTGCTGGGACCATCCAAAGATGACAGAGCTCTACCAATCACTAGGTATAGAACATAGTATTATGTATGAGGACTTAGGCTCCCGACTTATTTTTCAAAATAAATGTCGCTTCAGAAAATTGCTAAGAATAAATTTATTTCCAACTTTATATAGTGTTATTTAGCTGGGGTTTCTTTGCCCAGGTAATAAGATACTGCCGGAGAAATGTACAATGGAGATATTAAAAATTCAATTTAAAAACATTTCCATACAAAAAAAGACTGTCACGCAAGATAATCCACAGAATTCACTGTCAGCTTTTTTCCCCTCAGCATTTCTTTGGGGGAAAGTTGTTCCAATGCGAACTTTTCACAGTCTGTACTTCATATTATCCAAAGTACTGAGGTTGCTGATCCTGAAAAGAGATGCTGCTGTTAAATATTTCAAATGTAATCTGTCATTCCTCTGTGCTTCACATAACGTAATTTGTCTGTATGATGCTAGGGTCCAAAAACTGTTTTTCTGGTCTTTAGTCCTGTCACAGGGCTTAAGGCGGGGTACCCCATGGACGGGTCGACAGCTCACACAGAGACAGACTCATATTCACAACTATGGGCAATTTACCTCATCTTTGTACTGTGAGAGGAAGCCGGAGTACACAGAAAATGCACACCAGCACAGGGAGAACATGCAGATGCCACGCAGAAATGTCCACTGAGTCAAACCCAGCACTTACTAACCACGCTAACACAAGGCTGGTTTTGGTTTTGTGAACTAAAGCTTACTTAAAGTATGAATTAAGTGTTAATTTACTGAATGTGATTTGTAAGTCAGGTAAAATTGTCATTAGGTGTCAGCTGATCGTGACGTATCATAGCTGATACGTTCCCTGACTTCGTCCAACTCTGGCATCTCTAAGAAACTGATTGAGAATCTCAAATAAAGCCGATGCATGCCTACAAAGCAGCGGAAGGCTATAAAAAGATAGCAAAGTGCTCCCTGTCAGAAATGCAGTGAAGGTGAAGAAGAAGAATACTTTAAGACTGAAATGTACATCTGCTGGACCGGGAGGCAAAGTAAACCCTCACATGACTGCAAAGTAGCTGCAGAAAGGTTTAAAGGCTCTGCAGCTTCCCATCAGGGTGTGGGCTGAAGCATCATCACTGTGATCTCAACTTCTGCACAGCAATATCTGCATGAACAAGATCACCTTTTAAACAAGTGATGTGGCTCTTTGAAGCAGACGTCTTGTTTCTGATCAGGGATCAGCACAGCGCTGTAGACCCATTCTCACTTGTCTGGTTCATTTACTCTTTAGATTTGACTTCATGAAGCTGACACCCTTGATCTTTTCCCTCTCTCCCCCTCCCTGATAATATCCATATGCGTGCCTGTGTCCCTTCAGGATCACCCGTATGACTGTGGTATTTTTTTAATGAGCTGCCAGATAAGTAATAACCTGTGAATCTTTGGGAGTGTATTCTGTAGGCCAGGAGCTCAACAAATAGCACCAGACTCCACTGAGATAGAACTCACTAACCTAATTACACAGTCCATATTAGCAGCCTCTCGCCTCAGCCGTCTCCACAGACAATAACTAACAGAAGTCAGATTTCACTGAAGACAGAGGTTGCTTGTGTTGCCCAGAAGGCAGATTTCTGCTGCATTTTGTTTTCCAATTTTCTGCTTCTGTTTTCCTTTTTGTCCATTTACCTTTTCTCTCTCTGTCTCCTTTCCTGCCTGTAGCGGACTTGAACAATGTGAGATTCTCAGCATACCGAACAGCCATGAAGATTCGCAGACTACAGAAAGCACTGTGCTGTAAGTAAGATGAACACACGCGCGCGCGCACACACACCCACAGACACCTTAATACCTACAGCCGCGGTCTGCTTCTTTTGATGTTTGGGCTCAACAAGGGGATGCAGTAATGATTTGAAGCTTTGCCAGATGCTGTGCCAGAACAGCATAGGAGCCAAGCATATTTTTGGCTTTAAAATTACCCACTCTGCATGAATTTGTGTGCGCGTATGTGCATGATTCTTTGCATACAGAGTCACAGCTGGTGCTTGTGTTAAGCCTGTTGAGCGTAAGCCTCATTTGGTGAGCACAGGTGGAGTTTTTTTTTTTTTTTAAATAAATAAATAACTAAATACATTCTCAGAATGAGAGAGTGATGTTTTTTGTGTTTATAATGTAATCTTCGATAGGAAGTTGCCATTACTTAGAGTCTCAGGTGGCTATAAACACCATATATATACACAAATACACACACACACATTACAGGTGCATGTAGACTCCTCCATGTGGGGTTTCAACCAGCATGGCAGTAGCTACTTGGGCTCAGCTCAACGTAATAATGGTGACAAATGTTAACCATTATCCAGCTGTTGACATTATTAGTGCACCTCACACTGTGAGCCTACACTGTTTATTTACATCCTGCTGTTTGTAGGAAGTTTGGAGTGTGTACGAGTGTAACAAATACCACACATCAAAACCGTACCGTTACCTCAGACGGTTGTGTGCATGTGCAGCATGCCCAGCAGGGTATGTCAAAGTGTGTTATTGTGTGTGTTGGTTGTCAATGAGTTTGAATGATTCAGGCGTTTTAGTTTGCTATCTCATATTGCTTCTGTGTGTGCGTGTGATTGTGACGATAATGCATTAGCCTGAGTGAGTTCGACTTGGGGCACTGCGATTCAATTTCATTCATTAGATTGGAGCAGTCACAGTATACAAACACACACTGACATGCACGCACACACATGCACATGGAGGCACAGAAGGATCAGTAGTTATTAGTTATTAGCCTGGATTCATGTGGAATCTTTGCTTGGAGATCCATGTGTCTGACTGTTTGTGATTGTGTGTGTGTGTGTGAGAGAGAATTTGACACACACGTGACGGGGATACTATAAAACGGCTAATTGGGTTAAGTCTGTGCCAGGGGGGTGGAGAAGCACAAATGAGCTTGCGTGGCATCCACTAATGTGCCACAGCCTTTCAGCTCCATACCAGAGTGTGCAATGACAAAGCTGCAGAGAAGGAAAGTTTTGCTTTCTGATAGCACAGCTGCCCTGCTGCGTCCACTCTGTGTGGATTACTCCAGTAATTAGTGCTGTCTTTGAGGGCAGGAGGGTGAGAGAGATGTGCAGTGTGGAAGTTTTTAAATATTTATAGAAAATTCATTAAAGGTCAGAAGAGTAATGCAGAGAGAGGAGTTTACAACTGTGGTTTATGTTCCTGTATACCTGTGAAATAGATTTGAACCTCCCATGTATTGAAATCTTTTGATAAATCTGAAACAAGATGCCGTGACCATAAAGTACGGTAGATTTTTAAATGTTAATGATTCTTTCTGTGGTAATTATCCCACTGTCTGCATTTTACCTCCTGGTTGGTTGACCTGCCAGTGGATCTAAGCAAAGCACTAATTAAAAATCCCTTTGGTATCTGAGCTTCATCCTCACCTATTAATATATTCTTGTACTATGTAACTAGATCCTGACTCTTGTCATGTATTTATTAAGCAGTACATGTGCTGTAGAAAACAAAGAAGGAGATGCTTTAACATTTAGAGAAAACTGCTTATCTACTTTTTTTTTTGCTGACAAAAACAAATGAGATATAATTTGTTAATTAGTGAGCTTGAAAGGTGCTGGTCGGCACTTCGGGCAGAGACAGCCAGCTGTTCGATCCAGTGTCATATTAAAGAGCAGGATATTAGCGCAGTTTTGATTATCTGATTAACTCATTAGTGGGTTGTGTCATGGTTTAATGTCAGATATTTAACAGATTTAAAGGACCAAACCGGCTGTTGGTTTCTTGAAAATGGAGACAATATCTTTACTGTGGAAGCATTTTTTTTTAAATAATGTTATGTTATATGTTTCTTAGTCTGAGCTTTTTTAAAAAAAAAAAAAAATCTCAATACAACAGTATGACTTCACAGTGACACTCAAAGTTTGATATACTTCCCTAGATTATCAGTATATTGTAATGAAAATAGGCTGACGTCATCATAGTGTAATTAAAACATCATAGAACAGATTTTTAGTATAACCCTTGTCCTTCGAGAGGCGTTACGCTCTACGAGTGCTTTTATATTTCCTTATTCTAAAAGAAGTACTGCACTGTTACAGTTAAAGGCCTCTTACGATGGGGAGTTCATGCTCAAGCACTATAAATACAGCAGCTTCTGTTGTATTTATTTATATTTTAGGTACTTTGTCTCAATGCGCTGGCTTTGTTATTCAATTATCCTCTTCCGTTCGATTTTCCGTCTTTTTTGCCATCTCTCTTGCGCTTCAGATGCGTAAGTGAAGGGGACAGTATGATGGAGGCATAATTGAAATTCTATATAAAAAATATGGTTACATTTTTGTTTTTGTCATTCTAGAGCCAAGACTCCAGAGAGACTGCTCTGTCTGATTCATTTCATCTCTGTTCCTCGTTTGTCTTTTTTTAGTTCACATTTCTCCTCAATGGATCCGTCTATTTTCTGTCTGTAATTCTGGCCTACCCCTGCACTTATTTTTTTTTATGAACCTATTTTGATAAAATATCAGTCAAGTCTGTAGTTTAGACGTTCTTCTATAAGTAGCCTGTGCCATTTTCAGCTCCTTGTCCTTTTCTGATATCTTGACATTTGTTGAAAAAATCAGAGCAGCTGCTGAAAGCTCAGTGAGCAAGCTGGAAAGGTTACTAATGGTCCTGTGTTTCTTTGTCCCTTTCTTCCATTTTCCTCCCGCCTCCTTCTCCTCGCTGTTTCTCTCCTTCTATATCTCGACCGCCCCATTCACCTGCAGTGGACTTGCTGGACCTCAGCGTTGCCCAGAACACCTTTGAGCAGCATAAACTCACCAATAACAATCAGCTGCTTACCGTTCCCGACGTCATCAACTGCCTAACCTCTATCTACGACGGCCTGGAACAGGAGCACAAAGACCTGGTTAACGTGCCTCTCTGCGTTGACATGTGTCTCAACTGGCTGCTTAATGTTTACGACACGTACGTATGCCCTCTGCGATACATGTTGCCGTACATATTTGTAGCAATGCTTAGTACTTCATGCTGTTGCATGCACATGAATGATGTACTTGTTTAAAATTAGACTGCATTAAAGGAGCTGTCATGTCAACAATGCACATATTCATGCTGTCATCATGTCATATGCATAAGTCGGCAAGTGCCTCAGTGGGCGTGTTACGCATTGTGCTAATTTAGGAGCAAATTTCATGTGTCAATATAATCTGCTCTCGCCAGAACATACAGTACTCTCTGCGTAATCATGTGTGCACTCATACACTGTAAACCAACCATCTCCGCACTCTAAATACCATTTGTGCGCATTCAGGGGGAAAAAGCACAAACAACTCACAACGTCCTGCACGCAATCCTTTCCTTTCCAGGCACATAATGGTTTTATGTCTCTGTTGTTGCATGTAATTCAAATCTGAAATGATCTCGCTACACTTAAATTGAATGTATACTCAGAAACACACAGCAACAGTAAATGTAACTAATTTTCACTGTCTGCTTGGTGTCTCCGTGGTGCTGTCTGCAGTGGTCGCAGTGGGAAGATCCGGGTACTGTCTATGAAGATCGGCCTGCTCTCTCTCTCCAAGGGACACCTGGAGGAGAAATACAAATGTAAGTGTCAGCGAGTTGGTGTGACGTTTGATTCTGTACACGTGCATCTAAACCCACTCGCGTCCCTTTCATAAGAGACCAGCCTGTCTCCGATTTCAAGTGATACTGCTGCACGATGGCTGTACTCCCAGCAGTATTAATCAAACTCGAGACGGAGAGGAGTTAGAAATCGGGTCGTCTAATTGGATGAGAGACCTCCTCCGCGTTTCTCTTGTTCTTTATTTAATTTTCTATTCTCCCTTATTTTTTAGGATTAGGGAGCGTGAATGTAGGCTTGCTGCACTGGGAGGAGAATGTCATCCTAGCTTCCTGCTCTTTGTTTTTGCTGCTTTATCTCTCTCTCTCGCTCCCTGTCTTCCTTTGCTGTCACTGCTCACGCCACTGTTCATCCATCTAACAGTTCCACTTTATCTTTTGTCCTGTCTTACTTAGTCTTGCTTCCATCCTCTTTCCTTTCTTACTCTTTCGCCTCCTTTTCTCTTCCCATGGCATGGACTCCATCCCTGAGCCTATTCGTTCCACTGGCAGTTTCTATTAGCCTGAGAAAGGGTATCTAGCATGGTTGATTGCGTCCTTCCTCCTTTACTCTTTTAGGGTCTCATTGACTGTCAGTCCCTTGCAGATAGCTGCACTGCATTGCGCACGCACCTAACTAGGTGTCCTGTTATTTGACACCCATTTTTGACAGTTGCAGACTGATTTCATAAGAGATGTGTACTTGGGGGGGGATGGGGTCAGAGACATGTAATTGCTGTCTCTCTTCTTTTTTTTTTGCATGTGCAATCCATGAACACCCACACACAGTCATGGCAGGAGCTGGCATCAGGACCAGGCTTCATAGAGAGATCAAAGACAGTGGCAAGCGGAGCAGAAAGACCTGTCATGCCCTCTGTTTTTTCCTCTCCTCTTTTTCTCTGGATTACACTCTCTGCCTTCTTTGCTCATTTTGTGCATGTGCTCCAGCGATGTTTCGTAACCTCATCTGGGGGGGGTGTTGCCAACATGCAGAGTAGCTTAGATAGTGTGTCATTGGGCAGGCATCCATATCCAGTACGGAGCTTTGTCAATCTCCGTGAGAAGGGATGGAAAGATGGAGACGGGGAGGGAAAGATTAGAGAAAAAAAGCCTGCTGTGGAAAAACTAAATGCATCTGTTCTCTGATTCTTTTTGTCCTCCCTCTCACCCACATATACACTAACGCTTTTCCCTCCCACTCTCTGCTATATTGTCACTCTTTCCTTCTCTACATCTTTTCTATTTATACTTATTTTTATTTTAAATATCACCCACATGCTCTAACTTTCTCCCTTATTCCTTCTCTTTTACCTCACCGCTCCTCCCTGTCCTCTCTCTGCAGACCTCTTCAGCCAGGTGGCGTCAGCAGGTGACACGTGCGACCAGCGGCAGCTTGGACTGCTGCTTCATGAAGCCATCCAGATCCCAAGACAGCTGGGCGAGGTGGCTGCCTTTGGAGGCTCCAACATTGAACCTAGTGTTCGGAGCTGCTTCCAGCATGTATGTTCACACAGAAACACACAAACATGTGCATTTAACACATCACATTAGTGTACACCTACACACATCTGAAGAATACAGAAGCACATAAGCTGTTCATGCCATAGTCTTTTAATGTTCTTACCACTGGATGGATTATAAGCATGGGGGGGGAAATCCATTTAAATTCCATTTAAATTCTTTTTTTCCCCACATGTTAATGAATAACAAGTTCAGGGTTTTTGTTTGTAACAAATCTATAACCTCAATCTGATTAATCAGTGATTTTTCTCCGTGTTTAAACTATGATTTCACTGGTTTTACCTCTAATACATAAGCTGAAAATGATTTTCTTGTTTTGCTTTGTTTTTTTTCTGTTTCGTTTGACAAAAACAGTCTGAATGTGAAATTGTGATTGCTTAACTGGTGGGGGAAATCAGATGGCATATTAATGACTAATTAAAATAAAGGTTTGAAAATGTGTGCTGGGCAGATAGAATAGAAATGCTAGGACAAAATGAGCCCAAAACTAGTCGACTCAAAATGACCTCTTTATTGCTGTACACAATATGTACACATATTGTGTACAGTTAACTGGTAGTCTGGTGCTCATGCGTAAGCAGAAGCTTTAAATCTCTTCTTAAGATAATATATGTCCTGTTAGCTACAGGGTTCATGTTATGCTTTATATTTTTATATAACTCATAACGCCGATTAGGCAATCGATCCCTGGGGATTTTTCTGTTAATATATTATTCATGTCTTCCTCTTGAACCTACTCCACCGTATCATATTTATTTCTATCTTAAGAGACATCTTCTTGTTTGTCACAAGCACATTTTGTCTCTGCCATCTGTCACTGCTTGTGAATACTTGTAAAAGAAAAGTCTGATTTTCCAATTATCCAACAAAGATTTCTTGCGTGGACACTGCTTTGACACTCTTTTGATTCAGCTTTCTGCTACAGAATCTAAAAAAGCTGAAAGGTATGAGCTTAAAAAGCGCTGCCAAAAAAAGTTGATTCCGTTCATCTTGACGTAGCGTTTTCAGTGCAAGAAACTACCTTTGCACAACGAGGGAAAGTAGCCCACTGAATGAACAATGGGCTGTAAGGTCAGTTTCTTGATCATTAAAATGCACATTGTCATGACCATTGATCAACAACCACTGATCTATGACCACTGATCAATGGCCATGAGTACCATTCACAGAGAGTTGGGGAATGGCTGCAATCACAGCATTTTAGGATGGTGAAAGATGTACCCTTAAGCCCCTTGACTCCCCACTCAAACCAGCGTTCCTCCCTGTCCAGGATATGTACATCCTCATCATTGAAAGAGTGTGCACTGGCCTGTAGGTGTAAATAGACTGCAGAGTCCTGGCCTGACGAGGTAGCTCTTCTGTGTTGTGCCGTCCACTTAGCCAGAGGTTGTTTGGTTTCCCCGATGTATAAATCATCCAGTCCTCCTGGCACTTAACAGCGTGCACTATATTACTCTGTTTGTGCCGGGTGATCGGATATTTGGGGTGGGCCAATTTTTGGCACAGCGTGGGGTTTAAAAGCCACAGAGTCCACAGTGTTTAGAGGAAATGCGTCTCAGCTTATTCCGATACTCCTGACACATACAGGATCTCTATAGGTTTTTGCTAAGGCAGCAGTTGTCCATGTCTCCTGAATGGCCTGGAGCATTCTTTGGGTGCCTTCTTAGCTTTGACAAATGTCCAGCTGGGATAACCACATTAACTCAGGGCCTTCTTGATATCATCTTCTCCTTCCATGGCTGCTTTATCAGTGGGGTGTGCTATATGACATTATTATTCAGTGCATCTTCCAAAGGCTGATTATCATCGAGCATCTGAGCTTTTTTCACCTTCTCCAGCCACCTAACACCAGATCCTGAGAAAAGTACTTGAGTGTTTGAGCTCTGCTAACCAACCACAAAGCCTCAAATGGCCTCCGGTGCTCTGCTGGCTGTCCTCTAGTGTTTTACTGCAGTCAGCTAACCGTTTTTTGCGAGTTTACCTCTGGACATTACTGGCATTTAATGATGTCCTTATCCCCCCCAGAATCACTGTTTCATTTCTCTCACTCTTCCTCCCCCTGGCTCGTGCTTCGGTGGTCATAAATGGGAGCCAAACATTAAAATTAGGAAGCTATAAATTTCACTGATTTCCTGCCGCGCGCCTCCCAAAATAGCAGAGGGAGGCAGTTTTAAACTTTATCTCTCCCTCTGTTTTCTTCTCGAAATATTGCAAAGAGGCAAACACCTTGCTGCCTCGCCTTGATGTCATAATAATACGCACATATCCACAAGGAGATATATACATGCATGAGTGCACGCACTAGCTTATATGGACATAAATTGCTCACAAACTTGGTCGTGAATTGCTGTGCCAGCTGTAGTCCAGTTGCTCATTAATCATTCAATCATCCAGCCGGGTTGGCAAGTGGAAACCAGGCAGACATAAACTCTCACGCTCTCTCTTTTATTTACACATGCATGCACATGGACGAGCAAAGCCCCATGCCACCTGTGTGTCAGTCAGCCCCATCAGTGACAGGGCAGTCGCTTATTCCATTTCCTTTAATGGGGTCTGTGATAAATGAGTTGCGCCGCCATAAATATAGCCTCTTTCGCCATTCCTTTGTTACTCTCCTTCATTTATCCATCCGTCCATCTATCTAGTCATCCTTCGAGACACCCAGCAATTAATCTGTAAGTGCTATAATTCTGCCGTTAGATGGTAAGTAGGAGGGAGAGAAGGCGCAGATCAGACTAATGTATGGGAAAGGAGAGATGGAGAGGTGGTGCATGGGAAGATCAAATGAAAGAGTGGAGGAGCGTTAAAGACCATTTGAGAAGTCATAAAGGTGAGGAATTAATTGGATGTGTTCTCATTTATGAATCTGAATCTTAAAAGCTGCCTTCAATTTAAAAAAAACAACAGAAAAAACCCAAACCTGCCTCAGAAACATTAACAGTTACCAAACCCAAGGTTAATTTTTTAAAGTTAAATCTCACTTTAGTACTTTAAGGACAATGTCAGTGTAAAACCAGAGTTTCATAAAGAATACCAAAATATAGCTTTCTTTGATTACCTGCAGTTAATAATATATATGTTACATGGAGCATGTTATTATTTACAAGATTATAATTGAGTAAAAAGAGCCACCGATACAATGCATTTAAACTAGAGCTTCACCAATATCCAGTGTAGATATTTGCTGATTTACAGTATCGTCGTCTGCATTTATGACACAGTTAGGATAAATGGGAAAGGCTGAGAGTAAACGAGTACACCATGGCTTTTTGGGATAATTTGAAGGCAGTTTTGATTGATAAAATCAATGATGCCACATGTCAATATGTCCTGTCTTTGATCAGTGAGCTAAGTATTCAGCTGTTTTCCCTTTAAAGGTTATCAACCACATATTTAGATAATATTAAGGGGTTTTAAGGCCCGCAGACATATTTACAAGAGTCAGGAAGGATAGGGTTTGTCTCTGTCACCACACTCCTATAAACAGTGCAAATATTTCCCTTTTAGATTGGCATTTGAAGCAGAAAACGGGGATATTTGGCTTTTTGTTTGTTGAAATTTATCCTTTTTCTATCTGTTCCACAGATAATTTTAAATTAAGTGTTACTGTTCCACAATACCTTTATTTTTGTTAGTTTAAACTTTGGGATGGTGAAGGAAAAAAAGCTTAGAAACCTGACTTTGATTTGAGTAGAAGTAAAAATATATATATATATATTCTGTTCAGTAAAACAAAAGCTTTGAGAGAAGGTAAAGACATCCTGACACTGCTTACATTGAGAGTCCAGCCAGAACAGGATTTCTTTGGTTTAAATTTGAGCTGGAATTTATTTTCAGAAGTATATGTAAATGAAGTCGAGATGCCGTATAGTCCTGCACACCATAAGCCTTGAAAAGGGATCAGGAGGAAACGCACAAAGACATTTACTAATGTTATTCCTTTTGATTGTTTGCTCTTCTTGTTGCAAATGCATTCTGCCCTTTGCTGCCCTTTTGTGTGTCAGGCATGATGGAAAGGTTGCCTTTGATTTGTTTTGCAGTAATAGCAGCCATGTCAAAGCTTTGCTTCATGTGTTGACTTTTCCATTGGTTTCATTATTGTCTGCAGATGAGCAAAGATCCAGCTGAAAAACATGTTGTGAACATTCCTGTGTTGGATTACGGCACTTTTTGGAATCATTTAAAACATTTGATTAAGTTCTTTTAAGCTAATAAAGAACTTAAGTTATTGAAACGGGAGATAAGCAGACTGTTTACTCTGCAGTTTTCATGCATAGCACTGTACACGTTACACCCCCAAAAGTATAAAGCAGCACTTATGAGTAGGAGTTTAAGTTCATTTTTCAAAGGTATCTGCACAGAGCAACAATGCTGTTATCTAACAGTGCAACTATGGGGTGTGTAGGGCAGAGAGGGTGTTAAAATCAATCATTGTTTACTGTAAGATATTTCAACCAATAAACATGAATAAAGAGCTCATAAAAGTTATTTAGTCTTGGTTCACAATTCAAGGCCTTAACGAGCCGCAGGGACTCATCACTTTAATATGTACGGTCATCTTAAATTTGTCTGCGTCTTTATTGCGTGTTTGGGAACAAGTCAGAAGTTATTGCCTGTTAGTTATTTCTGGTCTGCGTGTTTTTCTCCCATGCTGCAGAGAGTGCCTTTTATATTTTATCAGCTCTCATTGCTGAACCTTTATTGAACTGTAAATCATATGATTGATAAACCTTTGATTTAAAAGCCTAATTCTTAATCCTGCCCCCTTGTTTTTTTTTAAATGTCCAGGTAAACAATAAGGTGGAGCTAAAGCCCAGAGAGTTCATTGACTGGATGCGTCTGGAGCCTCAGTCCATGGTTTGGCTTCCTGTCCTGCACAGAGTGGCTGCTGCAGAAACGGCGAAACATCAGGCCAAGTGTAACATCTGCAAGGAGTGTCCTATTGTTGGCTTCAGGTAAATACACATATTCCTATTTAGCATTCAGGTCGGCATTTGCGTAACATGCCAAATAAATAAAGGTGATAAAGTCTGCAACTTGTAACAGGCTCCACACACACACAGCAAATCTAGAAGTGTTCTGCATTGTTTTCTCCTGGTTGAGCATAAAGGGCAGGTCTGCTCTGGAGGGCAGGCATTTATCTAAATGTCAGCAGCTGATACACCACTGACTAAATACCATCCAGAGGTTTGCAGTGGAGCTTGCACAAGTACTCACAAACAAAATGACATCCTCATACACACAAACAGGTAGCACACAAACAGGTAGCGCACCACCAGATTCTCAAAAATTTTAAACAGCTGATCACCCAGCTAACAACTGGAAGAAGACCACTCAGTGATCCTGTGCAGTACTGACACACACAAACACACGCTCTAAATATTGCCTGTCTTTTATTTGGCTACTGCTCTTACTGAGTAATCACAGGTAGCGAAAGATCAACAGGTTTATTTATTTCAAAACAAAATTCAGGTTTTCCACTGGCCAGCATGTTGGAAATGCTTTTTGTGTGGCCGGAGATGGTAATAACCCCACCTTTCTAAGTAAGGTTAGGTGGCAGGATTGCCTCCTTCGGATACCTTGCTTTGCCAGCAGAAAGAGAAATACGCTCAGGCATTTGATGAAGCACACATCTCCCAAGTTGTGTCATTGATCGATGAGAGAGCGCGATAGTGGGAAGGAAAGGCAGGGAGCAGGAATGAAAGGGGAGGAAAAATGCATAGCAGGCATTTTGTGTGGTCTTGAGACATGGCACCAACTGGGTTTCAAGTAGTTTTCATGTTCTTCAGAATATCAGTAGGTTTAAAATTAGCCTCGGATGAGGAGGGTCGACATATACGTTTGAGTTGACTGGGTGTATGTTAACTCAATTCTGCAAATTAGTGAGATAGGTTATATGCCACTGAGTCGTATTTGCACTCTTGGTACTTTGCATGTTTTTTTTTTTTTCTTGCACTGTTGATTGTGACAGAAGTCATCACACTTTGTTACAGCAAAATCCTTGGGAGCCCAAAGGCTTTACATATTTTGTGGGGCTAAAAATTCAAAATGTAATAATAAGAATCGGAATGAATCGTAAACTAATTAGAGTTTATAGATGGATGGTTTGATTAAATTAATATATTTGTGGTTAAGTGGAAAATAGTTATTCACATTGGTTTTCTAAGTACTTTTCTTTTTCCCCAAAAAGAAGATAACAACTTGATAACAACCTTAATACCAAAGGTATTAACAGAACACCCCCCAGAAAAAAAACAACAACAAAAAAACGGCAATTAACTTAGATAAACCTGTGAAAATTACAGATTTATTCCTGTCTACAAACACAGAAATTTACATTAATTACCTGCATACAGAGACCAGGCGGAACTTCATGGATTAAAGCCGAAATTCCACAATTAGTGACAAAGTTGCTGCAGGACAGCAGTTTATCTGCAAGCGACAGAGTTGTGCTCTGTTTGTAATGTGTGTTTATAATTTAGATGTCAGTTACTTGGGAACCTTTGCCACGCTGTCTTTGAGTGATTAGCCACTGAGCTGGACTGAGTTTGGAGACAATTTGTCTCCCACTAGGGTGACCTGTGCAATATCCTTCAATCCAAAGTGCAAAACCCCCAACATCTGTCCGACCAGCCAGTCACTGCAACTACTTGGAATAAGTCGGCAGTTGCAAAAACCTAAATGCAGTCTTTTTTCCCCCCCCTAGTTTGAAGGAGGTTACCGTCCTACTTTAACCTCCTAAGACCCGAACTCTTCCACGGCATGCATTTTTAATTTCTCTTTGATATTTGGGCATATTGGGGCCCGATGAATGTAAAAACAAAGAATTACCAGATTTTATTTTTTTTTTTTTTACATTATTTTAGTATTTATGAAAAATAAGAGCCACATATGAGGATATTTGTTTAAAATTCTGATAGAACAGTAGCAGTATAATGTCCTCGTAAGTGGATATCAGGCCCAAAATTGAGTATTTTGGTCTAAATAACCCAAAATGTGATGTCCACATATGTGGACGCCAGGTCCTAGGAGGTTAATGTTTTGAGACTGAGCCATTAATCGGCCATTCAAGGAACATTTACAACCAAGAGCATGGGCTTAAAATTACCAGTACGTAACTGAAGAGGCAATAATGCTAAACGCTAATCAGTTATCACCAAGGCTGCTGTTGCTGTTGGGTTTTTGTGGGGGTTTTTTTTTTTTTCCACCGCTTGAGTTGATCCTACATTAATCAATAGCAAAAAAGGAGATCACCAAACAATACAAGTTTGCTGGTTACCCAAAGTTGGCGAATTAAATGAGGGCCATCTCAACACCTTCTAAGTGAAGGTGACTCAAACCCCACCCCCATCCCCTTAACAGTAATATGCTATGTGTCAGTACATAATGGCAAATTTGACTTGGAGGTGTCATGCGCACTGTTGCATCCTTTGATATATAGCTCTCTTTCGTAGCTCATCAGTCAGCTAACCTTGGGAGAGCTGGAAAGGAGAGAAAGATAAAAGACTTAAGCTATTATGTCTGAATGGCTCCTGTCTCAATTTAGCTGTTAAATGGCCTTCTGGCTACAGCTGCTGCTGAGGACAACATCCCAACAGTTGTTGTCACATTGTTGTGCTTTGGTGAAAATCCAACTGTCTGTCGCTCTGTCAGCACATTTTGTGTGTGTGTGTGTGTTTGTGTGTATGTGCACGTGAATGTACTTTTGTGTGCACATAAACATATTCATGCAGCAAAGGTTGATGGAGTGACTCTGGAAAACAGCAGCTCTCCAGGTGACTCTGGAGTAGCCTGTAGAGGAGTCGTGTTGTAGTGGTGTATATGTGCCCACACACCCAGAAACACATCCTGAAGACATGAAAGTGACACACACACACACACACACACACGGTCCCATCTCAACTTATCTCACTTTTCACCTCGCCCTCTCTCTGTCTCTAGGTATCGCAGTCTGAAGCATTTCAACTACGACGTGTGTCAGAGCTGCTTCTTTTCTGGGCGCACCGCCAAGGGTCACAAGCTTAACTACCCAATGGTGGAGTACTGCACACCGGTAAGAAAGTAACACACACACAGACGTTGCTCACTAACTCATCTCATATCTCTTTTCCACATGCTCACACATTCCACTCATCCATTTAATGAAAGCACACAAATTCGGGGTTCAGACAGACTTCAGGCTTTGGTTACCTCCTAACCCATCTTTCATTAAAACCGTTCTGTGCCTGATGTCATAAATCACTGACTCGCACTCTTCCCACCCCTTGAATATTCATGTCCTTTTTTTAATACCCGTTAAGGGAAATCCGAAGTATTACAGCAGCACATTCATACATATTTTCATTTCCAATTTCTTTAACACAATCTTGCACTTAATGCATGCTGTTATTTTAATCTTCTAGTCTCTGGTTTTCTTTGTCTGGGTTCAACCAGAGTTATTTATTAAACGTGCATTGTTTGAAAGTCATTTGCATTCATCTGCAGCTAAAGTAGACTGCACTCTTCTGGGAGGAAATTTTTTTGAACTTTGCTGGGAGTTTCTCTCTGACGTTCACAGCAGCCTCAGTGAGAAATTGTGATAGATCAAGCTGTAGACTCCAGGATAGGTTCACTTCTAAAGTATTGGGTGGGGTTTAGGGCAGGAGGAGTCTAGAGTTAAAAAGTATGAAAATGCATCAGTTCCTAAATCGTTATATGATACCGCATATACATGATGAGAATGGTAAGGTAGCATGATTAATGGAAGTTACTGGTAAGTATTTAGTGTATGAATTTTCTAATGAAACTGACAGACAGCATTTAATGTGCATAATACCTTGGCAGTCACCCAACGTGCTGAAGGTGGTTGGCATTTTACAGAGAAATCAGAAACTGCGTGTATCAGAGGGCACAAGAGGCAAACGTATCGGATGTAACGTAGATTAGAAACAGCCCGAATCAAAACACAAACAGACTTGTTCACATCACGTTATACTGACGACACATTTAGTGAATCTGAAGCATCTAGGCTTTAACTAACCTCTTTTTTTCCCTTTAAACTAGGTTCTGTCAACTGCAGAATTTCTTGTCGCCTCACATGCTGTTAAATTCCTTTGTCTTGTTTCTCAATCAGCCCTCCCGAAACACCCCTGGCTTAATTCCGAACGTACAAATGGTAAAATACTCAAGGTTATATTTTTATCCTTCCAAGCCAAAAATATTTCACTTCACAGCTAGAGATGAATATTGGAAAAACGGGAGCTTGGCAAAATTGAACGTTGCTCTTCTCCTCAATTAGGATCTAACACTTGTGGGCTGACTCTTTTCAGTATTGCTTAACGTCATACTTTGAGTGACTCGAGTTTCTCTCGACATTTCTCATTTCTGTCTTTTAATTTGCTTTTTCAATTTCCTAAATGGGATAGATATTGACTTTGGAGGAGTAGCTGTAGGGAGCAGTGATCACTCTTCCCTGAGTTAAAATGCCCAGCAGCTGCCTGACAGACTTGACTTTGAAAAAACATTATTTTATTTTATTTTTTTTACTTTCAGCTGTGCTGCAGCAACAAACACTTAATCTGTTGGTTAATTATTAGTACTCAGCTACCGGGTAATCACTCAAGAGGTTACTGATTCCCTTCACTGAAAATAAAAATTGGGGGGGGGGGGCGAAGGCTTTTTCCCTTTTCACTTTTCTTATTTTTTCTTAAAATCAAAGGAGATTTTATTGAGGTCTTTCTCGGCCATTTGCACACATGTAAATGAAATGCAAATCAAATACAGCAAAGATAATTGAAACTCTGACTAAGATTGATCTGTGGATATCCACCTCTACCTCTGTTGGAGCCAAAGCGAAGGGAGGTACTTCACGGGTTGCCCAACAACCCATGCAGTGGAACAAGACAGACTTAGATATGATTGTGAACTCAAGGGGGCCACGCTCATGCAAGAGATATGATGGCAGATCTTGCCAGAGGGACAGTAATCAGTGTTGCAGAGATCTCTTTTCATGACAGCAGCCTGAAAAGTGCAATAACAAAACAAAAAACAAAGATTAAATGAATATTTTAAGTTGTCAGCCAGAGTATTCAGACTCGTGTCTGCTATAACAGCTGCAACTTTCTGTTTGCGTGCATGTGTCTGAAAAGATGTGACAGCAGCATAGTATCCACAGGTTTTTCAGCAAGGGAAATGTGTGAGGAGAAAGAAAGAGTGGATGGGGCTAAGTGCAAGAACAACACAACATGGTGAAGCTGTGTTTTGCTCAAACACTGACGTAAAGCTTACAGCCAGATCAATAAAAGATCACGAAGAGAAACTTTTGAGAAAGAGAAAGTTTTGACTCAAATCCCCGTGTAAAGCCCCAAAACTCAACTCCAGGTTCATAAACGCTACATATCCATCTCCACGGAGCTTTATTGAACCTCAGCACAGTGAGGACTGGGAGGAAATCACCCAGATCTTGCTGTTTCAACCTGAGAGATATAGATCTCTGATGAAATAATAAGTTGTGGATCACCTTATTGTCTCATTTTAAATCTCACAGTTCAGCGTAGCTTTATCTGCACCTGTGTAGTAAAAGTCAGACTTTTTTTTAATTGTTTTTTTCTTTATTTCCCTCAAAAAAAACAAACACAAAAAACCATCAGCATGATATGTAATTATACTTGTGTGTCTCCCCATGCTCGAACCAAATTGTGTTTCAGTTTTATGCTTTTGAAAATATTAAGTCCATATTGAATAATAAACGCATTTTGCAGAGAGTTACAGATTTATAGCGGCTTTGGTGAGACTCACTGCGGTCATTTAATAAGATTGTTTTCTCATCTTTGTCATACTGTTTATTTTATGGCCACAATATTGTATTTTTTTTATTAGCTTATGATTTTTATGGGAGTGCTGTCTTCATATTTCTCATTGTTTTTGTCAGGGATATTAAACAACTTTGGAGCGTGATGTATTGATTACCGTAATTTCAAAGTTTTGAACTGTCCTAAGAGAATATTGTGTTTCAGTTTGACTGCGATTGCCTGTCTGGTCATGTTATTGAAACATCTTGACTCGTTTCCAACTGGGGTCTTATATCCCCCCCCCCCCAATGTAATAGAGGCAGTAGAATAAAAAATGCATGTCTCTCAATCCTCACAGGAAGGAGCTTACACACATGCACAAATTTTTCTCCAGCTTTAGTATAACTCTTCTGTAATTGCTGTTGGTTTGCTCAGGCTACCATCCTAAATTGTGTGGATTAGTCAATAAGCCGAGTGAACTCAATAGAGTCTGTTCATTTATGCATATCTGTCAACTGTAGGAGCTGTGTATTTGCCTGCCTGCGTGTGTGTGTGCGCGCGTGCCCCTGTGTGTGTGTTTAGCAGTGGTTGTCTGCATCTTTTGGAAAGGATTTTCTCTCCCTGTGGTCAAACCCGTTTGGTAATTTACTGGTTGCTTGCGTGGCGGAAAGCGCACCTCTGCTAAGTATCTAATTAGCAAACACATTCTCTTACACGCAAATGCTTATGCGTGCAGAAGAGACTGTAGAAATCTTTGAACTCATTGCACACTACAATAAATAATAAGCGACCCCCTGCCCATCTATGTTTTTTCTTCTTACAGACGACATCAGGTGAGGACATGCGTGATTTCACCAAAGTGCTGAAGAACAAATTCCGATCTAAGAAGTACTTCGCCAAACATCCACGGCTAGGTTACCTACCAGTACAGACGGTTTTAGAGGGCGACAACATGGAAACGTAAGTAACCCATAAGGTTTTTTATACGTGCTTTTGGATCACAAAAACTTTTCCATAGTTGCTATAACCCTTAAAGGATGTTTTGTGTGTCCACACTGTTGTTAAGGACTATTAAGCAGCAAGTTAACCCTCCACGCGCGATGCAATATCCTCACGCTGGCATTTCTATTTGTGCTACCATTAAGGTGTAGGAAGGCATAAGAAGACACACTGACAATTCCACCACATAAGCACTGATATAGTCTCAAGTTTTCAAACTGTTGCAACATGTCCCAGTGTATATCTGTATATCTCTGAGCTTCAGTGCTGGAGTAACATTAAAATGGTGATAAAACCTGATACCGACTGTACACTCAACTCAGCTGCAGCAGCTTGATTTTTGTAACCTGGTGCATGACTAGCCAAAGTGTCACAAATATGGTGGCACGCACAGAGTTTGACGGCACATCATGTGGCAGACGCCGCAAGCATAAAAACACCATTAAAGTTCTTAGAGTCTTGTTTTGAGGGCATTGAGCCCCCCAGCATTTCTTTATATTTTGCTTTCAAGGAGACACTTTCTTTCACTTTCATTATAGTGGTCTTGAGTATCTGTTCTCCAGGGTTCTGAAGCTCTTTGAAAGTTTTTCTTTGACACTGGCTGCTTTTCGCTTATTTCACTCATTTTCAGTCCAGTCCTGCAACCTGGCCATTTTCAATGTTTTGGTTTTTCTGTTTGATTTAGGTGCCTTTTTAATGCTTGAATGATTCATATGTCAGTGCTGAGTGGCTTAACAAACAAAGGATGAAACACTGAGGCGCCTACACACAACTTAGAATTTAAAATTGGTACTTTTCTATCTTTAAGCACTTTGTCACTTGCAGCCTGTCATGAAAACATATAATTTGTTCCCATTTCTTTAGTTCGGTTTATGAAAAATGGCAAAGATAACAGAGTTTGACAGGAATAAAATAGTATTTTTGCACCAACAAAGTGATTCCCAAAGAGCTATCAGCATAGTGTGAACTGTGTCTGTGGTAAAAAAATAAATAAATTAAGGACACCGGACAAGTGGGAGACAAAAGCAGGGCTGAAAAGCAATCTTCAAAAGATGAACAGTCACTGAAAGTCATGTCCTTAAGAAATATGAAAAAATCCAGCAAAGACTTAACTCAAAGCTCAAACATGCATTTAGTCTTTCACTCCATTCATCTAAATTTGGGATTATTTGCTCAGATAGTCAACAACATGTTCAAAGGAGGACAGGGGACAGCTACAGCAGCAGTGTGTGTCTGCAGTTATCTGCATCTTATCAAAATTTATAGAATTATGAATTAAAAAAGGTGTGCAAAAGATAGCCAACCTCCATAAAAGAGCTTTGGACTATCCTTCAGTAAGGGACAGAACTGTGGTGTTTGCTGCATAAGCAACAGTTAGCACTAAAACTCTTTTTCTTAATTCTTAGAAATGGACCAATTGAATTCAAGCGGGTGCACTGTGGATCCTTTGTCTGCAGCACTGGCCCAGTGATTATGTCTAATTTATGTCCCTTCTGCTACCAGCCTTAAATCCTACTGAAAAGAGCCATTTAACTAGGCCCATATTATGTAGATACCCTACGTCATACCTTCCAGGAGGCTGTCTGAGTTACTGCCCCTTCAAACAAGAGTCTCACAATAAAATAAAACGTCCCTCACTGTGCATTTTTGTTTCCTTTGTTTTTCTTTTTTAGTATTTTTTTAATGTGCCATCACTCACTCACTCCTAATGCAACATTCATTTCCGTTGAACCATGTAGTTTTTGCATCTTTTAAAGCAAAACAACTCTCGGCGCTGTTCACGTATGCACACACAATGAGTCACTTGTTCTCTCTCAATAAATTTTTCCCGACTCGTGCGCAGTCACCGTTCAGATGGATTGCCGTACCGCTTTCATCCCTCCCATCCTTGCCTGTCCTCCTCACCTCCCACCTCGCTCCATTTTCACTTCTCTTCCTCTCTGACAAATGACTCCTGCAGAGCTTCTGGTTTGATAAATGTCTCTAAAAGGTAGTGAAATTACAGCGAAATGCAGGGAACTTTTCAAAATATGGCAGAAGCGAATGGAGACTTAAAGAAATTTAGGGCTATTTCATGCTCATCATTTTGTTTCTTTTACAGCATTAGGTCTCATCTGTGATCAGTGGGCCATCCATGTATCGCCACAGGCAAAGAAAGCAGCTTTTGGACCGCCTGTAAGATCTGGCCCAAACATAGCCAGTGTTAAGAAATGCTCCCGTTCATTTTAGCTCTGTATTGTCACAGTCTGGTGGCTTCTGCCATCTCTGCGTCATAAAAATTAATACCGTGACCTAAATTGAAATGGATTTTTCTGTAATTGGAACAAGGTCTGGGTTCCTGCTTTATAAGAGCTTTAATACAGATTAGGTAAACACCAGAACAATTGCAGTCATGTTTGTTGCAGTAAGATAATGCTTGTTTACAATTTTAAAATATACAGTTTTTAATTTCCAATTTGTTTTGCAGTTTTTATTTCTAAATATTAAGAGATTTTAAGTGTCACTCCAAACCTTTTTAGTGCGTTGTCAGTCTTCATTAGTCATCATAACAAAGGGAACTTTTAAGAAGTAGTGATTTTATAGTACTGAGCAGCAGAAGAGAAAATTAGATTGTCTGCTGAATAATCGCCCTCACTAATGCACTCGCTCTCTCGCGTTCCCTCTTCTCCACTCGTGTAACATTGTTTCTTTTTTGGTTTTTTTTGTTTAATTCCACCCACTCTCTCCACCTTGAGAGTGAGCAAAACACCACCTACTCTCACCTCCCACTTATATCTTTGCTTCATTTCACGCCAGATAGGATTTTTGATTCGTCGCAGCTATATTTGATAATGTGAAAGAACCATTCAAATGGTATTCCACTCAGTGTTAGGTTTTTTTGCTTTTCACCCAACCTTACTAGATGGAGCAGATGAGTCTCCGTTGTATTAGGTCTCGCAGGAAGGTTAATGGTTTTGAATGTGGATTTGAAAGCTTGTGGGAGAATTTTCTTATATAACTTAAATTTTTAATGGAATGATTTGACAAGGATAAATCAATAGCAGACTTTTAAAAGGAAAACATTTTCCATTGTCATATGGCAGTAAAATAGTTTTTATATTAATTAAATTAAGAAAAAAAACCCTGTTTTATTATATATATGTTTGCTATTTTTAAATACTCAGTGGCCACTCAGTGGGAAGGGGGATAGCTCAGTAGGTAAAGTGGTTGCCCCATGATCGGAAGGTCGGGGGTTTGAATCCACTGAACGTACCCCTGAGGAAGGAACCGTCCCTACACACTGCTCCCCGGACGCTGCACTGGTGGCCACTGGTGGCACTGGTGCCCACTGCTTCACTGGGTGAATGGGTTAAATGCAGAGGAGTAATTTCCCTACGGTGACTAACACATACACATTATACTTTGTTAGGTACAACTGTTCAAACTCTTGTTAGTTCACATATATAGGCAAGATGACCTGCTGATGTTTAAACTGAGGAAAAGAACAAACTAAAGGTGATTTACATGACTTTGAATTAGACTTGTAGTCGAGACCGCCTAAACCGAGACCAAGACAAGAGCAAGATCAGAGGGTATCGAGACCAAGACCGAGACAAAGTTGAGACGAGACCAAGACCGAGACGAAAAAAGTCAGCCAGATGCTGCTTCGTTTACGGGTGTTAGGCATATTTGTGTTTTTGCTTTCGCACAGCACAGGAGGGATTGGAGCATAGCTGAGCCACTGTGTGAGAGCTGAGCAGCGAAAGGAAATTAAGTGAGGGTAGAAATGACTGAAAGATTAATTGGCTCTGTTTTGAGTTTTGTTAAAAAAAGAATGACTTCACATAGGGAAAAAAAAAATCACATGTGCAGGACACCTTAAACTAGGTTTTTAATTAAGCAGCAAGGCAGAACAAAATCAGGGCTGTATCAAGACACATGGACTAAACCCCAATTCAACCAGACCCAGAACTGATCCGGAATTAAAACAGGACTACAACAGTTCAAAATCAGGACTACTTAGGACTTCACCAAAACAGAACCACAATCACAACTACATGATAGTAGCACTAAAAATCATCATAGACCTGCACTACACTCATTTTTTATTTTACCAAAGTCCACTATTTAGATTGAGAAAAGTTTATGTAATTATTTAGCCTTGTTGTGCAAACAAGCCTGCATAACTTAATAAATATAGAATTTGAAAAGTAACAAATGGTATCTAAGAAGAAACACTAGGTACTGGATACATGTTCTCATGAGTTTTGGTAAACAACCATTTGACTAACAGGTCTGTCTCACCTGGTTCTTGTTCCATCTCTGTTCTGTCGTCATTCTCCTCTCTCTCCCTCTCTGTTCCTCTCTCTCCCTCTGTGTGCTGACAATCAAGCCAAACACCAACATCATCAAATATACAGTTAAAACCAGATATTTACACACTCTTCAGCTAAAAACACAAACACTTTTTTAATTGTAACATCAAATCAGACTAAATGTTTAATTTTTTAGTTTGATAAATATAAAAACATTTGTTAAATTTAAGAGTAAAGAGAGAAATTGTCTGTATTTCTTAATTGTAAATGGCACCAAATTGTATTCAAAATGATTTGCTTTGGTACCTGGTCAAACTTAAGCTCTCCTCTGTCTGCAGCAAACTCGCAGGCAGCAGCTTCTCCCCCCCTTGTTTTCTTTATTTCCAGAGTTCATCTAAAGAGTGAAGTTTTCTCACTGAATAGAGGTTGCAGAGATATGTATGAAAGGAAACACATCTGCAATCTGCAAAGCTATCTATCGTTGCAGAGCTAAAGACTAATGTCGGTCTCCTGAAAGGCGAGATGAGCACAACGAGTATTCCTCCAGGCAAAGATTTAGGTGGGGGTGTGTAAAATGCTGCAGCACTGCCTCCAAGAAGTTAGCTCAGCCTGCCATACCGACCCCCATCTCGTCTTTTTTCTCTCTCTCCTCTGTTCTGTCTGAATCTCCTGTTACATTTTGAATTCTCCTCACAGCTACAGAAGTGTGACTACGCTGGCTGCCCCGCTGTGAGAAACATAACCACCATCTCCCTCTGATTTTCTTTGCTTTAATGTGGGAACAAAAGCGCGAGGCAACAGAATGTCAACCTCAACTGTTATCTTAACAATTTCTAGCCAGCCTCCTTTGTGAAAACGGCACATTTCTTCGTGTTCTTGGGATTAGAAGGTGTCCCGTTTGTTTACAAATGACAATTTTGTGTTCTGGGTCGCTAAAAATAGCAGCAGTTATTGTGGGCTGGAAAGCAGAAACTTTAAAAGACTTGCATCAGTGTTTTATTAGCAAAACTCGATGACCCGTATCTTCGTTTGTGTGCTTATTGCACTGTTTTTTTAGTTCTCCTTATATAACATATTGTATTGGACTCAATAGCAGATTAACCAGGAAATAGGTTCTACTGTACTGATTTTTTTTTTTCCTGGCTTGCTATTTCTGTAAATCCTGCAGGAAATAAATGAGAAAAGGGAATGAATTTAGGCCATATCATTCTGTATGCAGGAGCAACTGTGAAACCAATTTAATGAGATGTGTGTGACTGCAGCAAAATCAACTTGCATCATTAACCCGTTGTGTGTGAGATCTTTCAGACACACACAACCCTTGTTTGTGTTACAGGGTGTTACTGACAGTTCCAGCTGCCCATTTTCACTTTTTCCAAACTGTTTCCAAGTCTAGTTCTGAAACAGATTGAAGATAACTCCACGAGAGAGAGTCTCGGCCACATTCGGTGTATATTTAGATATGTTGGTCACTGTTTTACACGCCTTTCCTGTGTGCACACGGGGGAAGTTTGCGCTCAGTGCTTTCTATCAGTCAGACTCTGTAGATATGGTTGACAGTTTTGAAAGGATGTATTTGATTTTGATTTTGATTTCCCCAGAGCTAAACAAGTATTTTTGCTGAGTAAAACTAACCAAACAGTGACAGAATCTGAAAGTCGAAGAAAGCCCTAAAGGCAAACTTCTCGTGTGCTGAATCCAGGCGCTCAGCAGCTGGACATACTTTTTCCTTCCACTTCTTCCTCTACCTGCTGTGTGTTTTGTTTCTGACCCGCTCAGTGGTTTTGACCCTGAAATGATTTGTGGTTCCTTTACTTCCCTTCCCTCTCCCCTCCCGATTCTCTTACAGTCCCGTCACCCTCATCAGCATGTGTCCGGAGCAGTATGAGTGAGTATCTACGCCACCAGTAAACACCACCTCGTCTCCAGCCTGGAATGCCTTTAAAACACCGCCTCTTTTACTCCCTTGTTCACTTACTCATCTCCCCCCATCATCCTCACACCAACTAAGCCATGACTGCTCTGCATGTTGCCTGCCCACCTACCTGCCTGAGTCACTGGCTGAGCATGGGACCAAAAAAACTCTCCCCCTGTCTCCTCACCCTCACTTTTTTCTCCTTGTTAGAGCACCCAGCTAGCATTCAGTTGCTGATCCCAGCAGGCCTGTCAAAAACCATCCAGTCGCTCTTTAGATAATCCTGCTCTCCTATTTCTCTGTCTAGGACCATGAGATTTGTTTTCTAGGTGATGTTATGAGGGGCTGTTAGGCTGTCCATGAACATGTGTGTGTGTGTGTGTGTGTGTGCGCGCGCATGTGAATATCAGTGTGTTAATGAGCTTGTGTGGGCTTGCTGAATCTCATTCATCTCCATTACCCCGTTCATTTTCAGGCTGTCCCAGTCACCTCAGCTCTCTCATGACGACACCCATTCCAGGATAGGGCACTATGCCAGCAGGTAGGCACTGGATTCTCCAGTCACCATCCTCTCATTGCAAATGCCACGAAGCATGTGTGTAAAGAATCGATAATTGCATTTAAATGTTGAACAGCTTCTTTTTTTGAGGACCATTTTAAAAAGTTTTCTATGAATTCTTGTAACTGCGGACCATTATCTAATGGACATCAGCGTTTAAGTAGATGCTTTTCCCTCCCCCCAGGCCGCACTTCCCTTCAGTCTGCACTAAAATAATGATCTGAAAGGGGCAACAACAAATGCAGATGTGACAACCAAATTAAATCTCTCCAAGCTAAAGAAACGGAATAAATCGGAAACAGTCGGTGCTTGGAAGCTAGGGAAAACATTCAATTGTGGTTTCTTAAATGTATAATTTATCTAATGTAATTTCCAGTAAATGGGATCTAATTAAGTAAATAATGTGTTTTTAGTACCATAAGATGCATGTGTAGTGCAGGCGTTCATAAGTAATGGAACAGCTTTTCTTTTCTTTTTGTGTTTTAGTGTCATTACACAGCAAAACATGTCTCAAATGGCTCTTCAGATTCGGAAACAAACACAAAAAAAGTAAATTCTGCATCTATCAAAGTACCCCGTTGCTTATTTTAGGAAATTGAGCTGGCTCTATTGTCAGGGACATTAAATGTCTCCTACTAGCTGAGACAAAAGAAAAGAAAGGGAGGGAAAAAAGCCCAGAAAGATGGAAATGGCATGGTTCCAACTAAACTGGAGACGAAAATAAGCATTTCGCCTTCATTTATGTGCTGAAAGTGTCATTTTAAAACTTGCTTCATACAAATTAGAGAAACCGGAATACTGTTTGCCAGTTTTCTCCTCAGACGGCACCAAAGCATCTGATTAAAATCGATAACGTTTGGATTTTTCATTGTTACTTTAAAAATAGAAAAAAACAATTGACCTGAACCTTTCAAGAGATCCATAATAGAAAAATACAGCATTTATTGATGTTTTCCAAATCTTGATTAAAGTGAGGGAAATGCGTTTGTGGTAGAGGGAGATTATGTTTGGGTGCCAGGGAAGGCACAAACAATCCTAATATGCTCTTTTTGAACTTTGTGACAATCCATCACAGTGTTGACATACATTAAATATCAGCTTGATGCCGATGTCTGCTTGCTGAGTGGATTTAGTGGCATGCAGCCACCCACCACATGAGCTGGTGACATTATAGATGTGTTGCTAAAATCAGTCTAGTAACAGATTGGCCTGATAGCTGCTTTTAACCGCCTGCTTCAAATTATCTTGCTGTGTACATCAGCACATCTGTATGCACAGTGTGTGAGCTGCAGTTAATCATTAACAGCATCAACAAACTGATGTTTTTAGTAGTTTTTTTTTTTTTTGCACTTGGACTGAATTTCTGTCGTGTTCTTTTAAAAATCATTTTAATACTAAGATCCACTGATATACTTGCTATATCGAATCTGTGCCATTAAAAAGATTTTCTAATTGGTCCAAATCTCATCTCCTGTATCAAAACCCAACCGCAGTTTTCCGGGACTTCTGCAGAAAGCTTTACTCATTATGACTCTCGTGACGCAGCCCTGTAACCTTCCATTAGCTACACATCATTAACCTTCGCTCACTGTTTCTGGTGGTATCGTTTCACTGAAGAAGTGACACCAGAATTACAATTTCAGCTGTAATAAAAACACATAAGAGATTAGATTGGAGCGTACAGATGCGCATGAAGATATGCACGCTTTGATGAGATTTCATATTAGAATTATAGCTTCTCCCTTTAATGTATATTCTGTCAGAGATCAACTTCTTAATATTGTGGGTTATATTTTTAATCTGCCCCTTTTACACTGGTGTAAGACGGGCTTTGATGTGGGGAACCAGCCTCATTAGCATGGCTGCTTTGACTGCATATGTCATCAAGAAAACAAACGTTTTCCCCATAGCATGTCGTACATATTCATCCAAACATTGATCCCATACATTAGGATATAAACTGCGCATGCATAAAGTAGAATCACTCAATGATGTAATTCATTTCCTCCCTTAAAAACAAAAAGCACCAAAAAAAAGTCCAAACAAACTGTGGCATCTTTATCATTAACATGCTTGTGGACTCCACGAGATGCTTTAAATTTTAATTGGTCTGCTACTGTGGCATTAATATAATTTGTTGACGCTGTTGCTCTAATGCTCTGTTGCATTTAAATGAGATGTTGACAGCTTTCAAATGGTTTAGTTTCAGCTGGTAATTTCCCTGATGGTGTTTTTTTTTTTGTTTTGTTTTTTTCCTCAGGTTGGCTCAGATGGAACGCTCCAACGGCTCTCTGCCCACAGACAGCAGCTCAGCCACAGGAAGCATGTGAGTCACTGCTGGTCATTTTCAGCATTTTTCTACATGGTTACGTGTTTTCCATTCAACTATGTTGGACAGATTTCAATTTCCAGTGTCTGGGACTTGAGATTTGTCTAATAATATATTGTAACACCCATTTTAATGTTCATCAATCTGATAATTCACAAGTGAATATGTTCCAGATATCCATATTAGATATTTGGTTTCATTATAATCCTCAGTGAAAACTGTTCACCTTGCTTTGCCTAGCACTTTTTTAAATAAATAAATAAATACCAGGTAGCTTTTGACATCTTTGCACCGAGATCTGGAGACAAAAAAATTAGAAAGGTTTCTTGGAGAGTAAAAGAAGTGAGAAATGAGGGGGAAAAGACAATGTGGTTGATTAGTGTGAAGTAGAGGACTTTAGAAAGAACGTACCGGATTAGAGTGCCAACAATGACAAAGTGAGAGTGTCTGCTTTCAGGATCTGCGATAACAACAGCGCTATCGTTAATCAAAGGAGATGAGAACATGGCAAACCGTGAAAAGAAAATCACAAGAAATGGGAGAAAAGCTGATGAGGAGCATGCGCGCAGAGGATCCCGATTGTGTTCGTGCTTCTGTCTGCAGGCCTTTCAAGTTGAAGGACGTATTGGTTCCCAACTAAGATCCCAATCGCGGGAATGAGCTGCTCTTGCGGCTCAAATGCCCTCCGAGCTCAAATAGAAACACACACACACACACACACTCATCATTGCGGAGGGAATTACTTCTGGGTTTTGCATCGTTTTTGGTAAGACATTTGTAGATCTTTAAGATTTTCCAAATCATAGGTTTGGATACGTGCATGGAAAGATTTAAGCTGTTTTTTTTTTTTTTAAATTTTCAAAAACAATTTGAAGTGGCAGGAAAAAAAAACCTTATACAAACGTGTTTTTGGAGGTTTTGGAAGTGGAGAGCAAAGAGATTCCCTAGACGCTGTGTGAACAGAAGCGAATATAGTTTGGGGATTTCTAAAAGGAAATTCTTCTTTAAAAAACAAAGAGTATTTACAGCATTTACAGCACAACAGAGGAAGGGCACACGGGGTGGATGGTTAAAACCTTTGAGAATCTGCAGTAAAGATAAAGCAACTTCGCTGTGTTGTAGGTTGTATCCCCTGCTGATGTGCTTGCATCATGTGGACCACTGCTCCCACACTTCACCTTCAACCAACCTTGATGCTTAGAATAACAGTTTCAGACGAAGACAAAACGCTATTGAAGACTCCCAAAAGCTGCATTTGTCCGCTCTCAATAGGAGGACCGAAGAATGGAAAGACAAAAACTGTTGGCGAGCAGGGCAAAGTAGAAACAGAGGTGGATTTATTTTCGCTCAAAGCTTTCGTAATGCGGGACAAACATATTATCATTACTCCTCCTCACTCTCTCTTTTGTGCTTTGCGCTCAGGCTTATTTAAGAGAAGAAGCCATTATCGTTTCCAACTCTAAAAAAAAAACGGGAAAGAACGCAGATGTTAGACACAGAATGTATGCAGGGCATTAATGAAGTGAGGAAGATGGTGGTTCGATGAAAGGCTAATGGGTTTAACAGCAGAAAGGGAACATTTAGTGCATAGTCAAAGTTGGGCTTTCTCTTACTTTTACACTTTCACTGCAAAGCAACAGATGCAAACTACATATACAAACAGCACAGGGACATTTAAATGCCTTTAGATCAATAGAAGTAATGTATTATCAACTATACATTGTTATTTGATTGGTTAGTGTTTTATATTCATGGTGCACCATAAAGCCATCTTCTATATATATCCAATTTCAGCAGGGTCATGCATTTACGTAATATGCTTTTTAATGCAGTAAAACCTTGCTCTAGTTACTGTGCTTTTAAATAAATAACCTGGCCCTGAATGGGGAACATTTGTGCCTGCTGTAAACTGTTATTCAGTTTACAGCAGGCACTGTTATATTTCAGCCTAAAGGGTATCGCTAATTGACTGGGAAAATTACCTGCATTTAGTCTGTCTGCTGTTACATTTGACTATTGGCTAAACAATCCTGAATTCATCCCTGATGGGAATTGTTACACGTGAAAAGCATAATCATTAGAGCCAGCCTACTTGCCCTGAAATTTACTTTAGACTAGACGTCATGAGTGTCCACTTAAGTGCTTTAGTTCTGCAGCTGAATGCCATTCACAGTAGTTCTAGCAGCTGTTTTGCACATCAGTGGGCCCGTTAGTAACTTTGGATCAAATAAATTTTTTTAAAGGCATTGTTATATAGACCACTACAGTGAAGCAGCCCACTCAGCCACGCGTCCCTCTCTGCAACGAATTAACTCTCATTCCCCTTCCTTTCAAAGCTTTGAGTTTTGAGTGGTTTATTGTTCCCCCTCTTTCTTTTTGCGAGATTTACTTTTTTCTGCCTACAGCTGATTTCACCAAAGCCTCTTTGTCTATCACTGCACTCCATCTGGTGATTTGTAAGGACACACAGTCACAGAAATTATCCCAACTGCTGTAGGAGGCGGCGGTGTCGGAGCTTCCGTAACACGGGTGACTGCGATTGCCCGTTAAATGCGCGTGTTTGGCTTTTGGCTGGTATTTTCAGTACATCCACTCATCTTTAGCTTTGCATTGACTTCAATAATTATTACGTGCGCGTGCATGCACGTGTGCTTCTTTGTTTCGCGTCACTTTTATGTAAAAGGGAATTCTTAATTAGAAACCTAGCGTTGCCTATTTTTATTTCTGACCCTCAACCGAAACGCAGCGTTGTCATCGGCGCCGTAGGACACCACCGAGGAGCGAGACTCTCCAATTCCCCTTTTGTTGCCGGGCTTTATTGTTTGGTTATCTCTCGCTTTCCAGTCTTTCCCCGAGCACTGTCCCTTTTTCTTGTCTTTCATATTTTGCCCTTTTATTCCTGTTCCTCTCCCTTTTTATTTTTCCAGCCCTTTACTTTTTGAAACCACCTTTCATCCTGCCCGATTGTCCCCTTTTTCTCTTTTCCTTCTTTCATCAGTTTTTGTTCTAGTCTAATCATGCTTTACCTTTGGGCCCAGGCAACCTTCAGATTAAACACTGCAGGGTGTTAAACACTGAAATAATGTTTTAGAGCCCTGCGTGCAGTGCAGAACAGTAACTCTAATAAATGAAGGACTTTACACACAGAAATCAAGGATTATAAATGTTTCTCGCCGGGGGAGAAGAATAAAAGATTTTTGCCTTTGACCGTCTTTGATCCCCCCCCTTTTTTCCTGTTTCCTCTGGTATTCCTGATTTCGTTGTTTCTCTTTCTTTATATTTTCATCCGTCTTCATCTCTCACTGTTTCTCTCTGAGCTTAGACTACTCAGTTGATCGTGGCATTCAGCTTGAGAGGAGATGCTTGCTTTGTGATATGTTAGGTAGACTTTGAGCCTGGAGATCACTGTTGTAGCGGAATAAACTGTAAAAGTCCCCTCGGGCATGTCCTACGCCTTCCCGCGTACCAAGCATGGAATTCATATTCAAGTTGTAGCTACAGTGAACTAACAGCCTTGGTATTCATCACTATTATTCACATTTAAATCTTCTGCCACACTTATCCTCTGTTCCTCTGTCATCTCTATAATTTCTGGGTCTCTTTCTCTTCAGCCGCCCCCACGCTGTGTAAGCCTGCAGGAGGAAGTGCACTGAAAGGGCACTTCCTCCTTCTCTCAGGATTTCAGAGCAGGTGGTCTGTGAGACTGCTCTACCGCCTCTAGTCCCCATTTTCGCACGTAATGATCCCCTTCCTGCAGTCCTCTGGGTTCCTCCTGCCAGCTATAATGTCCTGCTGCAGCTTTCCGTTGTCGGGGACCTTCCCTAATTGGTCACTCGGTTTGTGCAGGACCCCGGTCCTAGTTTTTCTGTAGCGAGTAGCTCCATCTCCATCATGAGCGTCTGCCCTGTCACAGCAGAGTGATAATTCAAAGAGAGAAATGTGATTGTGTGTGTGCCTGCTGGTGTATTGCTGCTTGTTGCAACAACAGCTGTGTCGACTTCCCGTCTCTTTCTGCTTTCTTTGTGCCGTTTTTCAACAACTCAGTGGTTTCAACATCTTCAGCCTTCAATTATTTAGTGAAATTGATGAATAACTACAGATACTTTGTGTTCATGCACATGCCAGAATCTCCATAAAAGTTTCAGAAAGTCTAGGAAAGTTAAGTTTGTGAAGAGTGTGTGAAAGTTAAAGCAGTCATCACACAAACTATATTTGGAAGAAGTGGTATGCAAGAAGAGGCCAAGAGGAGCTGCTAGTTGCAGGAGTTCGTTTTTTTTTAAGCTATGGAATGTGTTTGTTCTTTTCTGAGAGTGCGGAAAGGTTTAAGCATTACATTCACCACTTAGAAAGTTTATTTCATGTCCCTTTTATGACTGGCACCTAAAATCTTTACCAAAATACAGGGAAGGTTGAACTAGACCCGAATTGAATTCCTAAAGAAAAGGATGCTCTGAACTCATCATATAAGCTGCTTAGGCCGGTTAATCATAAAAAGCTTTTTTTTCTGTGTTCATGCAAGGCTGGGCATATTGTTTCTTTTATGTTAAAAAGAGATAAAAAGACTATTTTGAGCTCCCTTTCATAAGCGTTTCACTCAGCCCATACCTTGGTCATGAAATAGTATAATTACTGTCGTCTCCAGAAAAAAAGGCGTCCTTTTCGGTAACCTCTGTCTGTGGTTATACATGTGACCATAATGGATTCTGAATTTCTGCTCACTACTCTTAAGTGAAATGGAAAACCTGAGACATTTTAGTTCACCAGATTGTTCTTCAGGGTTATTGTGTTAACTTTTTCTTGATAGCCAAGTATTAGGGACTCATTTCATAGTCTCCTTTGCGTATAGAGAAAGCACCTGCCTAATGTCACTGAGTCAGCTTTGCAGGGTTTTCAGCTCAGACTCAATTTCACCTCAAGCATAGTATTATGTTCTGTGAGTCAGATAATGTGCATTTACTTTTCACACATAAAACTTATCCATGCTAATAATCTTACACTCACCAGGTTAATTGCTGAGATCTGGGAACACGGATTTAAGCAATTAACGTGTGGCACACACGCTACAGGAAGTGTGAGCAGGTTAATGTTAATGTAAAATAGCATAGAATAATAGCATAAATAAAATAGATATTTATCTTTAACACAGATGTTAAATATTTAAGTTCTACAGATGACGTTAGACTGAAATTTTCCTTTTAATTTAATCACGTAAATTTATAAACATTATAGGACAACAGCCGGAGAACGGATTTTTAAGTTATAGTGTAACTTTTCGTGTGAGTGTGTCAGGGCTTCGGCTTCAGCGCAGGCTGTGTTTCAGAATGAAGGTGACAGGTGGGCTTTGGCACTACTCGCATCACTGAGATGGCACATAAAGAGAGAGACGGATAACCACACATGCAGGTATAGAGCAGCAGCTGTTTCTTCCTCTATATCTTTTCGCTGTCTGCCGGGCTCTTTCTCCTCTCTGCTCCCTCCATCTCCTCACAGCCTCCCCTCATTTCAGTTATCTGATGGTAACGACTGACACATCTGTGTTTTAAACCCGAGTTTGTGGAGATTACAGCGTGGCACACCTACTGTATCTAAGGATCAAGACGTCAGCTAACACAATCCTTGTTTAGATCGGGTGCTTGGAAGCTGCCATTCATGTTGCTTCTGTTCTTCTGTTAAAACTTGTATTTTGAAACATTAAATTGAGAGTTATAGATAAAGTTGTTACATAGTTGTTCTATACTTTTATATAACATACAGTGCTTAAGAAATGTATTAGACCACTATCCAGTCAAAGGGTTATACCGCATCTGCCATAAATTCAGACTTTATAATTGGTAAACATTTTTTTTTTCTTTTTGTAATGGCTAATTTACTGCTTTTTTACACTAAACTCTTTAATCAAAATTATTTTTCTAATGTTTAAGTATAATTATTGTTTTTTCCAAAGCAGATTAAAGTAGCAAAGCACTTTTTTTTTTAAATTATTTACTTGCATTCCTGAACAGAAGCGGTTTGATGTTGTGCTTGATTAATTTCTGAGAGAAGTCAAGTGTTTTCACTCAAATTTGGACAGAAGAATGTAAAATAAATAAATAATAATAAATAGATAAATAAATTGTTTGAAACTGGTGTCTTTTTTAGCAGTGGTCTCAGAATTTGATTACTGCATGTATGAAGTTTGGGTCTGCTAATGGTGAAAGAGGAAAATAATAACACAAACTAAATTTATTATTGATTTAAATTAACTATACATGCTATTAATACACAGACTAATCAATGGAGTGTACTGTACATTTAGCTATGGAATATGTAAAGCTGAAGCGTTAAATGTAATCAAAATCAAAACAGACAAACAAGAGAATAGATGCGAACTGGCTTAAATAGGGGGAAAGCATTCCCGTCTGTGTGTATAGCATCGATTGCTAGACAAGGAGGGGTGGGCAATTCATTTTCCCAAGGGGCTAAATGAGAAATTGGGATTGTTGTGGAGGGACCAATAACCTTATAAAGAGATTAAAAAAATTAATAAATAAAAATATTGAGCAGAACTGAGAACCTTAGCCTTGTGTACAAATAGCCTGAAAAGGTATTTCTGCAGTAGTCAAGAAGTATGCGCAATAGTTAGCATAACTAACATGAAACACAAATTACAGCTTTTAAAAAAAAAAAAAATTATAGATTTGCACATGTTTAAGCAGACAAGTAAAGAGTCGACTAAAGTGAACAAAGAGTAGAAATAGACCATCAGAAGATAATCATGACTGAAGAGGTGAAATTTAAGTGCCAGTTGAAATTGTAAGCTAACAGCATGCGTAGCTGAACCTTACTGTCAGCTAGATGTAATTAGAACACAGTTAAGAGTTAATAAAACGGATCAATTGAAAGTCAGAAAACATAATAAAAATATGAAAAGACAAAATTATTATGCATAGCTGGTAAACGGATTAAAATTCACTGTTAAAGCTCAGTTTGTAGTTGATAAATAGGTTCTTGGGCTTTTGGGCTGTTTTTGGTGAAACATTTAGGAACCACTGTTTTATACAGTTTGCTGGCTGGCATGAAAAACCCTTCAATCTCCACTTTCCTTCTGCTGCCTTTATAGAGCAGCACTGTGTCATGGTAATCACCCAGGGTTCATTCAAAGCCATTTTCAAGCGTACTGATTTGATACAAGTAGTTACCATAATTCTTTCAAATGGCAAAAGTAAATAGCTCGTCTCTAACTGAACAGAAGGTGAATTGAACTGAATAGCAGGGACAGGATGTGTGGGTCTCGTCACTCATCATAAGCTCTACACTTTCCACAGGGATGATGAGCATGCCCTGATCCTGCAGTACTGCCAAACACTGGGGGGGGAGGCCTCTCCTTGCAGCCAGCCTCAGAGTCCTGCCCAAATCTTACAGGCTGTGGAGAAGGAAGAGCGCGGCGAATTGGAGAAAATCATAGCACGTCTGGAGGAGGAGCAGAGGTAGGAGACAAACATCAAAACTGGCTAATCTTATTAAAATTGATAATCACGTCTTTGCTGATAGTGATTACAAGCTATTGATTAAGTTTATGAAAAGTGACATTCTCAAAATGCATAAAAATGGGGTTTATCTGTTTGCCTTTGTTACGCTAAGTGTTTATTGACAGCTTCTTCTTTCAAGTACACGTGTACGCTCGAGTCACACTACAGCACACAGACACTTACCGTACCACCAGTGCATCTCTCCCGCCAGCTCCTTCCCCGTTTTGATTTGTAAATGGAGTTGGTATAGACACAGAGTGACTGTGCAATCTGTTGTTGTCGAGATGCTTTTTCCAGCATCTTGACTGGAGTGATTTAACACTGATTACACACACACATACACAGGCAGAGGGGAGCGGGTGAGAGCTTTACAGCCGGTCTCATAAATGCCAACTTAAGTAAAGTACTGCAGCTTATAGTTCTGCACTGAGAGGGTGAGGAGGAAGTGAGGCGAGAGATTTGGTAGGGGGCGTTATGTTTGGTTATCCACTGTGGATAGGATTTCACACAGAATGAAGAGGTAAACACGAGTGTGGTGTTTTGTGTGGTGTCCCGCTGTGGAGGTTCAGAACTGGCTTTTTGAATGTTTTAAGAATATTAAAACATTATATATTTACACGGGAAACACCAGGCAGAAGAACATATTCCCGTTATTTGTCCAATTTCCCAGCTGTTCAGCTGCCACAGCTTCTGCGTCAATTTCACATTCATCCATGTGTATGGACACATTTCTTGTTTCTTCACTTATTTGTTCTCAATTTTTCTTCAGGACACTGCAGAGGGAGTATGAGCAACTTAAGGAGCAACATGGACAGCGAGGCACGCCTACAGGAAGCCCCTGGGAGACGGAGGGCCCCTCGGCCCACCCCGATGAGGCAGATCTTTTAGCTGAAGCCAGGCTGCTACGACAACACAAAGGCCGGCTGGAGACCCGCATGCACATCTTGGAGGAACACAACAAACAGCTGGAATCTCAGCTTCATCGCCTCCGACAGCTACTGCACCAGGTGACGTATCATGTACACATTTTATCCCCGACTTGGGGTTATGTTTTGTTCCCGTTACCGACTGTAGTTTTGGTGCTTTGCAGACAGAAAACATGCAGTTTCTCTGAAAATAATTTAAAACCTGAAGTAACATTGTTATTGTTAATACAGCAAGTTCATACAGCACATGATTACTGTCTTATGGCTAGTAGGACCAATTTGCAGCAGAGCAGAGGAATTATGGTTTTCTCCTTTGAGTACAGCACATACACAACTGCGATATAAAGTTTATTTTCCACATTAGCTTCCTTTCCGTTCAGTTCATTAGGCTTGTTGTTGAGGAGCAGCAGGGCAGTAATCACGGTTCACAGACTCACTCACGCACACCAGCTGGCAGGGCTGTTTCAGACGGCTCAGGAAAAAAATAATTTAAGCAGACGTAAAAGTAAAATGCTGATACAGAAAGCTTCCAGTAAATTAAAGGGATTCGTTCAAAGTCGAGCTCCATCATGAGCTTGCAGTTATTAATCCCGAAATCCACATGATAACCCACTTTTATCACAATTTTTAAAAAATTGCTCATCATCATTCAGATTAGATCCTAATCACATCATTTCCATTCCACCCAGCATCCATCTCCGATCTCCGTATTAATAACTTCCAGATTTGTTTATACCCGGCCTAATTGCTCACTGAGGTTGGATTGTTTGTGCCAAGTGAGAAATTCACAAGCCTCAAGTCAAACAAGCAGCAATCCTGACAAAGCAAACTGAGGGGAGGGGGGGGCAGGTATTGGCTCTCTGGAAGCTGAGAAGCTGTGAGCATGGGCAATAACTCACAACAACAGGCGGTAGCTGACGTGACTCAGCAGATATTTAATGGCAGATGATTAACATTTGGACAGAAACAGTTTTAGTATTGCACTCTCACTAAATTTAAATTTGTCCTTCAGCAGAAGTACAGTAGATAAAATAAAATATAAAATAGCTGTTAGGACACTGATTTCTACTTTCTCTTAGAATGCAGTTAATGATACAAGGTTGCCAGATACTGGTAGTGTTATTAGGACATACAGACACTATAACCCACATTCGCTCATTGATTCGATTTGTCAATTTTAACTCTACAAGCATCATTTTACCACCAGATTGTAGGAAATGTTTTTTTTTTTTTTAATCTGTAGTATTTAAGTGAAAGGAGTGATATCTGGGTGGCCCGTTATAATTTGATCAAGGAAAAACTAGAAATAAGCACCATTTTTATGTAGCTTCCATGACCATGTTTTTAAAAGTAAAATCACAAAAACAAAATGCAGATCTGTTAGTGAACTTTTTGGGGCGCTCGTGCTTTTTAAAGCTGGTGAATATGAGCCGCGGTTTGCAGGATGAAAGCAATTTTTTTTTTGAGAGGAGCGCCAAGCCCATTTCAGGAATGCCATTGCCATGGTAACTAACAGCTTATCTGATACAGGTGGATGCAGTTGACAGTTTATGACTTATGATGAATTTGAAATTCTGAATCTCTGATTGGTGGATTTCTTCTCACTTTCTTGACATCAAGTGTGGGAAACAAGATGTATATGTAGGTTTTTTTTCCAGTCAGTCATCTAAAACAAGCTAACGTCATACTGCAGTTTGAAGGCAGTTTGAAGTATTTTGGCTGTCATTCACAATTTAAAGCTGCCCCTCTCATCGTCCGTCTCACACACAATGTTAGATAACAGTCCTACACCCTGACAGTGGCAGTGACCTGCACAGGTTTGTCAGATTTTCTAAATAAAAGTCCTTAGTTTCTAAATGGAAGACCAGTATGCTTTAAATTCAGTGTGTTTTCTTAATAAATAAAAGGTTAAATGTGTTATTATTAATCTGTCAATGAGAAGAAAAGCATCAGAATAGTTGCAGGAATTGAACAGGATTCTTTAAAAATTTCATTATGGCTTCAGTTATTTATCGGATGTTATTAAGGTGCTTTAATGCTGTGAAATTTTCAAAAATAAAAGCTCCCAATTTATATTTATAATCTGAAGAGAATGCTTAAAAAATTCATAATTAAAAAAATGCATCAGTTATAGTTTGCCAGTATCCTTAAGGTGCCACATTTCCAAAATAAAAGCCTCACATTTAGTGTTTTTCCCCCTAACTTTTAATGATACAGGTATCAAAAGCAATCTCCCTTCAGCTTCATTAGCTCACCAAATCACTTCAAATCTTTTAGCAACAAGCCACAGAGCAACCAGCAGCAGCATCACTTGCACTGCAGTGTTTTCAGTGTTTTTTCTTTAAGTATTATTGTAGGGTCTTTAACTTACAATTCAAAGCACCTTGTGGAGACTTTTTTTGTAATTTGCCACTGCATTAAATAAAACAGAATTGGGGAAAAAAATTAAATTGAAGTTTAACTGAATATTTTATGACTTCCCATGGTGTCTAATTAATGATGGCAAACCGAAAGTCATTTGGCAATTCTCATCCCTATACTACACACAGAACTAAAGAAGTAAAGCGAATCAAGGACTGTGTCGCTCATGTTTATTTTGAATGCTAAAACGTTTGCTATAACTGTCAGTTATAGCGATGAGGAAGTAAAATCTCAAAGTAGAAATGCTTGAAAAACCTGGGCTGAAAGGCGATTCTTAATTTGGTTTATACAGCAGACTGTCAGGTTGCAATGTGCTGTAGTGTTGTATACTGTCTAAGCTACTGCATTTCTACCTCCGCTGAGTTAGCCTTGTTTAGACTTTCCATCAATGCTGCCGCATGCTGCAGTGGATTTATTCTGACGCTGATTGCAACAGACAGAAAATCCAAACATAAACGGCGCACACAGCTACCTGCACACATGGAAACGTCTAAACACTTAAGTAAGAACTACAGTTCTCAGAGAGTCCCCGGAGACCTGACGATGTGTCAACACGTCTTTCCATCAAGTGCTGTGTTACTGCCAAGCTTCAGGGTAATAAACCCAGCCTGCCTGATGGCACGCATTAAATTCACACTCCCGAAGGGTGACCAAAACCCTGACCTGAGCTATTCTAAGATGAGCCTCGAGACAGTTGGTTGTGCTCCAGAGACGTTTCCAACATGTTAGCCTTCGCTAGTGCTAGGGGCACGAGGAGATGAAGGAGGAGAGGAAGAAGGAGGGTATATGAGAGAGGGGAGGGAGCATTGATTCACTTTCTTGAACTTGAAAAGCCAAAGGGAATGGGAGATTGTGCCGTGAATGTCACTGGACATGAAGTGTTCACTTCTGAGCATCTGAGAAATTGGTTTTTCAACAGACTTTTGACATATTCTGCAGTGTGTCTGTGTGTGTGTGTGTAATATATTAATTTATTTGTGAATCTTTAGCTCTTGAGAACACAGCACACTGGAGGGCAAATAATTATTTGTTATATCAAGATGAGGCTAGAGGTTACAGAGTGGCAAGAAGCAGAGAAAAATCCTAAATATGAGCACTGTTGATTAGATTTAAGTATGTACTATCATCTGTTTTAACCATTTTCTACTTCAGTTATATTTAAGAGCATGTGCACATATTTTTACCTTTCTACTCACTGAAGACCATCAGGGTAAAGCATTTGAGCTAAAACAAAAAAAAAAACTGGGGTAATTTTGATTGAGGGCTTGAAATGTGATTGATACTGTAGTGTGTTAAACTCAGTTTTGGCTTGTTTGGGGAAATTGTACACATGACAAGAGCCTCGTTGTGCTGCCCTTTGGTTGTTTCTTGTCTCCGCCTGCTGCTGTGAAGCAGGGCTAATTTTGAAGTTGTCAAGCAGACGCCAAGTGGAATAATTGTGTTATAATGACTAAATGTTCTTTTGTTTTGTTTTGTTTTCATGTCTGTCTCTCCATCAGCCCGATGTGGACTCGAGGGTAAATGGATTGTCCTCCCCCATCGTGCAAGATCGAGGGCCACTTACTGAAAACTCAGGTTAGACACTCAAGCTGAAAAAGGCTTAATGTACTGTTGTTTATTTAAATAGGAAGATATCAGTGCATTGCTCACAACAGAGAAAAAATATTCGCTTTTCTGCAAATGTAAACTGTTCTTCGCTGTGGTGCAGTATTAAAGTGTGAGTGCGTGTGGTAACTGAAAATCAACCTCTCTGTGCTTTGCGTGCATGTGTGTTCAGATGAGCTGTTGGACTCCCATAACAGCAGCTCTGACCTGGCAGATGTAATGGAGCAGATTAACAACTCCTTCCCTGCATGCAGTCGTAAGTTTCCCAATCCTCCTCCTCGAATTTCCCACCGTGTCTTCCCAGCCTCCTGCAGCAGATTTTTTTTTTTTTTGTCTCACCATAAGGTCGAAGGTCAGCAGAGGAAAAAGTACAGTTTGCTTAACCGGAGAAGCCCTTCACAGAAAAACTGATGTAGCATGTGTAAGATACAGTGCTGTGATCATTTCTTACTTTTTTACATATTTGTCACACTTAAATGTTTCAGATCGTCAAAAAATGTTTAATATTAGACACAGATAACCCGAGTAATTGCAAAATACAGTTATTCAATGACTATTTCATTTATGAAGAGAAAGGAGCTACCTGCACCTACCTGGCCCTGTGTGAGAAAGTAATTAATCTCCTCCTCGTTAAACGATGAATTAACTGTGATTAACCACATTTTTTGGAATGCTGAGCTCATTTTCACTACCCACACTCAGGCATGATTACTGCCAGACTGGCTGAATCAAGAAATCATCTAAACAGAAGCTGTCTGAGGTAGGCTAAAAGATCTCAGAAAGCAGCGTGCCACGATCTAAAGAAGCAGCTGAGAAACAAAGTCATTGACATCTATCAGCCTGGAAAGGGTTAGAAAGCCATTTGTTAAGCTTCGGGACTCCTGTGAACCATGGTGAGAGCCATTAGTTGCACATGGAGAAAACTTGGAGCAGCTGTGAACCTTCTCAGGAGTAACCGGCCTACCAAAATTATCCCAAGAGCGCAGCGACGACTCATCCAGGAGGTCACAAAATAACTCAGAACAACATCATCTGCAGGCTTCACCTGCCTCAGTTAAGGTCAGAGTTCATGATTGAACAACAAAAAAGAGACTGGCAAAAATGGTGTCAATGAGAGAGTTCCAAGGAGAAAAGAACACACAGACTGGTCTCACATTTGCTAAAAAAAACCAACGCTTTTGGGAAAAAATATTCTGTGTACTGACGAGACAAACGTTACATCTGGCACAAAACTAACACAGCATTTTAGAAAAGAACATCATAGCCAAAGTCAAACATGGTGGTGGTAGTGTGATGGTCTCGGGCTGTTTTGCTGTAATTGGAGGAAGCATGAACTTTGCTTTCTACCAGAAAATCCTGAATCCTGACCATCAATCAGCTCATGTCCTGAACGTCAAGCACACTTTGGATGTAAACACTGGGTTATCTGGACTTAAATCTGATTGATATGCTTTGGCATGACCTTGAGCAGGCTGTTCATGCTGGAAAATCCTCCACTGTGGCTGAATTGAGACAATTCTGCAAAGAAGAGTGAGCCACAATTCCTCCACATTGATGTGGAAAGCTCATTTCTAGTTATCACAAACTGCTCGATTGCAGGTCTTGAAGCCAAGGGTGCTACATTAGTTTATTAGCAATCGCTTTTTCACTTAGGACCAGGTACTCTAGGTTTGGACAGCTTTGTCACTTACTTAAAAGAAATGTAAAAACTGCAGTTTGTATTAACTCGGGTTATCTTTGTCTAATATTTAAATTTGTTTGATCTGAAATATGTGTTTGCGACTGAGATAAATTTGCCAAAACAGACTGTTGAATTGCTGGGACAGGAGAATATTTGGCAGTTTAGCTTCAATCACGTCTGGAACAACGAAGAGTTTTTAAAAATAGTTGCTATTTACAGTAATTGTCTGTCATCTTACTTATTAAATACCACCTTTTACATTTCAGCTACACAAATGGTTTTGTAACATTCCCCTCTTTTATCATACTATTTTACATATTATTGTTAAAAACAGCATTGAATGTTTATAAGCAGTATTTAACTTGAACTCAAAGTAGATCCGTTAGGTTCATGGAATAACTGAAATTACATATGCATGGCATGAAAGTCAATGATTCCCAGTATGTTCACAGCACAACACTGACTTTAGACATCTCTGAGGTATTTTTTCTGCTAAAAAGGTGCACGCTTGAGCCTGTGGAGAAACGGTGGTACTTTTCTGATATAATCATCATAATCTACAATATCAACCAAACTCATCACCCCCCCTTCCGATTTATTTTTTTTAACCACCTCTCAGTGCTCTTATCGATCCTCGTGTCTTCTTCCTCTTTCAGCCCCTCGCACACTCCTGCTCTGTATCCTTCCTTTTTATTTCCTCGTCTCTCACGCTGCCACTCGGCTTTGTGCCTGTTTCCCGTGTCTTTGTGTGCACAGCAAAGTGTCAAGTATTGTAATCCTGAACTCAGATGGTCTCGTCCTGCACGGCGCTGAAATTTTCTGTTTTCGGATGGTTTGGTCAGTGCGGTCCAGGTTCCTCTGCACCCATTTGTGACTTTGTGCTTTCGATTCTGATGTCTGCTCAGATGCACAGAGTTTAAATACAGGCCTAATTTTTTCATCCATCATCATTTAAATTTGGTATTTGATCAAATTGGGAAGAAAACGTTATAGCTCATTACTCCTAATAGCTGAATCTGAAACAATATTCACCTTTGGGAACGTTAATCAAATAGCAAAATAAATTAGAACGCTAAAATATCGAGCTCGGTGATTTTTAAATTGTATTCCATTATTGGAGAGTCGAAACTCCTGCGAGGGCTTTAGTTATAAATCCATTGTAATCTGGCACACGTTCCAGCGTTATTAGAATTTGGTTACTGCATAGCTCGGAGGCACCGGGACTCAGCCGCTCAGTGTGCGCACAAGTACGTGGGAGGTACCCAGAGGCTGACAATTTTGTGTAGACTCATAAATGCTGAAATGAACTGGGGAGTTCAAGTGTTAAACTGCTCTAATTTTTCTTTGTTTTGCCTCCTGCAGCCTCAAGCCTCTCCTCGAGACCACAGGTAAGACGTTCTCCCATAAATTTAAAGACGCAACAGGGGATGTTAATTTGTCTTTTAGCAGTGGGTTGTTTTTTTGTTCTTACGCCGTATTGTTTGTATTGAGGGATTGGTATTTTGGTAATTGGCAAAGGTGAGAGAAGTTGGAATAGAGCACGTTTTAGAGGTAATTACAGCTGCTGCCACAAAAGCAGTCCCCTCCACGAAGCCTTCACCTGCCTCAACCCTCCACATTCTGTGAGAAAGCGGCTGCTAATGGATCCCAGGGGAGTGCCATTAACGGCTCCTCTCTTTCTCTCAGTCTGAGGCCAAGGTGCATTTTGGGACAGAGGTATTGTGAAAGCTGTTGCCGCTGACCTCTTCCCACTGTAATTATTTACCCCGCTCCGGTGTCCCTTGGTTCTGCTTCACACCTCTTTTCCCCTCAGGGTCTTTTTAAGCTGCTCAGCTTGTCTCCCTGCACAATAAGCAGTACTTTTACATGCCAGTTAAACTGCCTATTTTCTGAGAGTCAGACATTTCTACTTTTCTCTCTGTTGACCAGAACACTACAGCCCGTCCTTTCAAGCAGTTTGCAACTCAGAATTTACATTGCTGTTAAAAACTTTGTCCTCTTCCTGATTTCTTGGTTTGCTTGTTTTTTTGTTTATTTGATAAACATACATGTTTGAGATCGAAGATATTAGACAAAGATGCCCAGAGTAAATACAAAATGCAGTTTGTTATCCAAACCTACCTGGTAATTCCCCCCTATGTCTAATAACTGGTTGTGCCACCTTTGGCAGCAAGAACGACTGGCTATGAGTATTTCACATCCCTGTGCAGGAATTTTTGTCCAATTGTTTTAATTCAGCCACACTGGAGGGTTTTCATGCATGAATGACCTGATTAAGGTCGTGTCAAAAAGTCTCATTTGGTGCAGACGTTGACTAGGTCAATCCAAAACCTTCATTTTGTTTGTTTTTTTTTGTATTTTTTGAGTCATTCAGAGCTGGACTTGCTGGTGTGTTTCGGATCATTGCCCTGCTGCAAATGCTCTTGAGCTTCAGGGCATGAACTAGTGACAGAGTAATTTCCTTTAGGATCTTCTGGTGAAAGGTAGAATTGTTGTCAGGATGTTGGTGCAATAATCATTTTATAAAAATGCCGTGTTAGATTTACTCCACATGTAATTCATGTAATTCAAACCTTTCAAAGAGTTCAGCTTTTGTCTCCTCAGAATATCTTCCCCAAAGTCTTGGGGATCATCTTTAGAAAGAAAGAAAGAAAGTGTACTTTATTGTCTTAGACGAGCCTTTGTGTTGGATCCACGAATGTCATTTTTGCCCAGTCGTTTTCTTGTTTAATCATGAACTCTGACCTTAACTGAGTCAGGTGAAGCCTGCAGTTCTTCAGATGTTGTTCTGGGTTCTTTTGTGACCTCCTGAATGAGTCTTTGATGCTCTCTCGCTTTATTTGTGGTAGGCCGGTTTACCATGTTCTCACACTGGTTCATTGGAGGCCCAAAGCTTTAGAAATGGCTTTGTAATGCTTTCCAGACTGATAGATATTAATGACTGTTTCTCCGCCCTTTCTTTCGATCGTGACATGATGTGTTGCTTCCTGAGATCAGACAGTAATCAGGCCTGAGTGTGGGTACTGAAACTGAACTCAGCTTTCCACAGTTAATTTATCATTTAGCAATAGGTTTTTCACACATAACCAGGCAGGTGTAGCTTCCCCCCCCTTAATAAATGAAATTATCACCTAAAAACTGAATTTTGTATTTACTCGGGTTATCTTAGTCTAATATTAGAATTTGATCGACCTGAAACATAATGTAAAAAAACCTAAGAAATCAGGAAGACTGCAAATACTTTTTGACAGCACTGTGAGTTTATGACTTGTATTCATTATCTACATAAGCACTTTGACTACAAACACTATGTGAACCACAGGTCTCCTCATTCTTCTGTTCTCCTGCAGGTTCCATGTTAATGATGTGTTTATTTACCACCTGCTTTGGAGTACGTTCCTCTGTACAATAATGCAACCTCATCTGACTCATCTGCAGCAGTGTTACACAACACATGCATTACCACATCAATTGAATATTAAATCTAATGAGTTCATTTCCCAAACATCTTCCACTCCTGGCTTTTTATAGTCCTCGGCGGACAGCGCTCCATGCACTCTCCTTTAACTTCAGCGCAAAGCTTTAGTTTGAGTGCCTAATTTCATTTCTGAGGAGAGCTCTGATTTGTAAAATCTTCCCAGATTCATCCATGCCCACCTCCCACTTTCCCCCCTCTGCGCTCCTAATGGACTCTAACTGGCTTGAGGGACTGCAGTCCATTTGCCAGCTCTCAAACCCGATTACTTTGTTTGAACTTCTGACGTTTCCACACGGTGATGTCTTGATGAAGAGAAATGAGGCGGGTTCACCTGCAGCACTCGGGACTAACCAAAGAGACTCATAAATCCGAGCTTTTCTGTGGCTGTATGTGAACTGGCACTGTCGTGTTTCAAGATTCTTGGTTTTTGTCGTCTGATCCAAAGCGTTTTCTCTCTGTGTGTTTTCAGATGATGTGAGGACTGACTGGAGGATGGAGAGACCATTCCCACACAAACAAAATCCCCTGCCCCTAAATCCCAAAGACGCACAGGAGCAGACAGCTTAACTACTTTTACCACCTTGTCTTGTACTATGCAAACTGTATATTTTATGAACTGTAGATTGTACCGAATTGAACATTTGTCAGTGATTTATTTAGGTATGCAGATGAGTATATGGACACGGGGCTTTGTATAGATTTTTTTGTTTTGTTTTTCAGAGGGTGGTTGGGATTTTGTTTGAATTCTGTTGACTTAACTGGGAATCAAACTGTTCCATTTTTATTTGTCATTCCACTGCTTTGTACCATCGAGCCCCGAATAGCCCCAGACTTTTGTTAAATGCTTGGGGAGCGCACACACTGCTCCCGGTGGCTGAAAGGATCATTTCCAAAATGTAAACTATCACCTCTCGGATCACCTGGTTTGTTTTCCTATCTATCTCGTAGCATGCTTGATGTCAAGTTCCCCTTTAAAAAGCATCGATATGCCGGCAGACTTTGTCTCAGCTGCGATTTTGTTAAAGTAAACTTTTACCCCTTCTGTGCCTACAAAGTTTGTCGTTCCACACGTGGAAGACGGAGGTGAGAGTCGATGTATTATTGTGGGATTGTGTAAAAATGGTTTTGGAAGTTTAAATCTAAAGATTTAAATCTAAAGTTGTTTTGAATCTGGGTTTATGAAAGGCCCGCCGTTATCATGTAGAATAGGTTTGGTTTGTTTTTTTAAAAGAGATATATGTTCAGAAATCAGAGGAAAGCCATGATTGCCTTGCTACCTCAGACTCATAGACACAGTTTTGTTTTTGTGGTTCGTAAACTCGTCAAACAGTTGTGTGTTCATTTACAACCATGAGCAACCTGGTATAGATTTCTAAGCTTTAGCTCACTGTATTGGTGTACACTGCAATGAGGAGTTACCAAGTTTAAAAAAAGGAAAAAAAACAAGTTACTATTACTGTACCACGATGGGTCTGTGGCCTGCTGAAGCTAGCCTCCCGTTATGATGAGTAGTATTTTATCTGTTGCTGGGTTGTTTTGGGGGGTTTTTTCCACTGGCCTTCTAGCACTGGTCCCTCACTGCGTCGTGTTGTTGTGCTATATGCTACCCTGTAAAACTTGTGAGATTGAACAACACTACTATAACCTCTGACTGTAAACTGATGGTGATGATGATTTTAATGATCATGATGAACCGTACCATGGCAGAACTGTGTCGCTTCTCCTGAGGTATGTAAAATAGATGGACCACACTACATGTAATATGGCTACGTTGTTTTATTCAAAATAAAATTTTTATAACAAGTACACGTCCCCCATGTGCTTTCGTTATTACCTCCACCACAGGAGGTTATGTTTTTGGCAACGTCTGCGTTTAAAGTTGAAAATGATGTCGTGTTGTCGAAGTTTGTGAATGCGTTAACCCGAGAACAAAGCGATGTAGGAGTTTTAAATTTACACCATAGGTATATCTACTAAAAATCTTGGGCTAGTTGGAGTCGACCTCAAAGTCGAGGTCAGAGGTCAAGCTTTCTGAAAGTCTTGTGAATGCGATAATTCGAGATGGAAGTCACCTATGATTTTGAAACTGAAACCATCGGTGTATCTACTGGAAGGCCGAGTGGCGCCACTAGCCACTGCCAGCTTGAAAAATTAGAAATGAATTCTGATAAGACTTTGTAGAGCTGTAAAGTCGGGTCGTGCTAACAAGTCGTTAAAATTTGGCTTATATCCAGTAATGTTTTCAAGGTCCACTTGATTATCCTTTAAGTCCTGTAAGTTGCGAGATGGGGCCTCCATGGATCACACTTGTTTTCCCAGCACATCCCACAGATTAAGATGCTCCTTTCTATCAGATCCAAGGTTAACTTTTTGAGCAATTTGACCTACAGTAGCTCATCTGTTGTCCACCAGCCCGTTCTCACTCCCGAGGTGTAACATCCCGACGATTTGTCACGTCCCCCGGCGTTCCTGAGGAGTGCAAAAGGTGACCTTCTGTGTTCTTATGCTACGCGCCAGGTTATGGGTGAAATCCAGTAAAATGACGTTCTAGCCATGTATTCCAGCCCTAAACCTAACCTTATCCCCTAACGATAACCTTAACCAGCACTTTAATAATGTTAAATATTGTTTTCCAAAGCGATTTAAGTCAAATGAACAAACATGTAGATTGATTCCAAACAATTCTCACGTCTCCTCGTTTTTCTTTTCTCGTCATTTAGGGACGTGTTTGGTGCCCTGAAGTGTAATATGTTTACCATTTGTCACCTAGCATGAAATATTACGCTTTGGTAGTGCGAATGTGTTTTGCCCACACAAGCCAGTCTTAACTCCCCATGTGCATCAGTGAGCCTTGGCTCCCCATGACCCTGTCACTGGTTACTTCCTTGGACCACTTTTGATAGATGCTCACCACTGCAGAGCAAGGACATCCCACAAGAACTACAGCTTTGGACATGCTCTGACCTAGTCGCGTAGCCGTGACAATTTAACACTTGTCAAACTCACTCAAATCCCATTTTTCCTGCTTCTAACGCGTCAATTTTACAGACAAAATGTTCACTTGCTTCCTTATACATCGCACCCACTAACAGGTGCCGGATGAAGGATGAAGAGATAATCATTGTAATTCACTCACCTGATCAGTGTATAGAAAGTACCATATAAAAATTTAAAGTATCATGTCACATGTGACCTCTGACCTCTCCTTCAAGGTCAATAGATTGATCTGAAGGTCATAGTGATAAACAGCTCTACATAGCTTCATTAATACTGTTTCTTACTGCCATTGTTTGTACTGACAAACACATATGTTGATATGTTATGGGGATTGTAAAGGTTACGTTACTTTGGACCTCCATCTCTTCTTCAAGATCAAATGAGGTCAAACTTAAGGCTTAAGTCAAGTTTATTAAAATGAGTTTCAGCCGGGCAAATAACAAAAGCCTGCACTTTGCACTGCTCGTTACTCTTCTATTAAAAGTGAGAGAGCGAGCTGCCTTGGCGCATGTTTGTGCACTTGAAGGTTGTTTAACGCTCTAAATTTTATTAATGTAATGCAGATTAATAACTCTACAGACTCAATCTCTAATCAGATTCAAAGCACACCTGTTTTAAGGACTATAGGGCTTATTACAGCCAACTCCCTCAGCTGTCATCCAGCCACAGGAGTCATTATTTATCAAAGGAATTGATCACGCAGTGAGAGGTTGTATCATTATTGCATGTTTGCAGTGAGCATGCTGAGCTGTAGCTGAGAACTCAAAATGAATAATGAAGTGCAATTAGCTTTTTCATAATTTACTTAAACCCTTCAGATGGTTTTTTTTCTTCTTCTTCACTGGAGCAGCATTAGTGGTGCTGCACGCATTAATTATTTCACTTTTCTCAGCGATTGCACGATGTTTTGACTAAAGACATCTACCTTCATCTTGCTTGGCTGTTCCTTGATGGTGGCTATGAATGAAAATCTGACGGGACGTGTGATGTCACGGTGATGGAAAATCAGCTCATTTTATCAACCTGTCCGACTAAATTGTCTCCCAGCAGGAGACCGTCAGCACTCTATTAGACCGTGCCAAACCTAAATTGCTTGTTTTTCAGTTTAACTGCTCCTTCCTAAACTTGCAGCACTTCCTGTCATTCTTGCCTCATCGCATCAAACCTGTATAATCTTGTGCTCTCCAGGAGAAAAATTAACTACAGGCACACCAATCTCTGATCACTTTATGCACCTTTTCCTCTTTCTTGTTTTTTTAAGTTGTAACACCTGTACAGATTCAACAAACCAGGCAAGGAAAGGAAAGTAGTTGATTTCCCCCACCGTGATTTCTTAATGGCGTTCCCCATCATTCAAGGTCCAGCAATTCCATACTTAATAATGCAAGAGTAGCCAAATGGTGGTGCACTCTAATTGGATCTGAGGCTACTACATATTCTGGCTCTGCTCACATCCTTCAGCACCCCTGAGGTGCTTTAATTAGTCTACCACTCCCATATCTGTAATATGCTGCAAGAGTCGGCCCATATATGCGGAGGCAAAGGACGTTTTGAGCTGTAAAGTACTAGAGTGAGGGAGATGTGCTAATGTGATTTACTATATCCTATAATGAAATGCTACTGTTGTTGTTAATATTAATCTTACAAGTGAAATTTGATTTTGACTTCTGATGGCCTCATATAAAACTCAGTTGAACTAAGATTGCAGGAATTATTAGAAATCTTATACACATTTTAATCCTGTCTGGTTGGAGCCGAGCTCTCGGTGCATCAGGCTGTCAAATTCGAGTGAGGTGCAGTGTTTTTGCTAGACTGAGCAGAAACGTCAGTTTGTCATTACGTGATATCAATTTAAGTAAAGTTCAGGCTAGATCTGGGAAAGAAAATGAATAATTCAGTCTAGACTGGAACTCCCTATAACAGCGTCCTGTGGTTGTAATCTTTATTTCCCAAAGGACCCTGTTGAATAGATGGTGGTGAAGCTGCTTTACTGTGAGGTTTGGCCATAGGGTGCAGTGAGATGTGCTGAAATGACAATATATTTACAGACTAGATGTTTAACTGTCCCTTCCACTCACTCCTGTGAGTTTACTCCTTAAGTGGTATAGCTGGAGCTCCCACACCACTCCATGATATCAAACTTGTATTAAAACCAGTCATTTATTTGTGAATAGAATTTAAACCCTGAACCGTGTAAAACACAGGTGTCAGACTCAGTTTGCCTTGTGGTCCAGATAGATCCCACTCTGATATTAAGTGGGCCAGACAAGTGGAGCCCCTCTTTCTTTCGGTATAAGAAAAAGTTGATTTGATCAAATTTAATCCTAATCTATGAGAAAGAGTTCAATTTCAACATTAACAGATTTTTTTCTACATGACAAAGAAATTCTACTGTAGTAAATGGAAGAGGGTCGACTCTTTGGGCTTAAATCGCAAGAAATAAACATGTAAACCTACAGAAAGCATACTAGTAGCTGTAGCTCATTGACTGTCCTGTAATTATAAAACTGAGTTTTTCTTAATTCACAGAAATTCCTAAAGTAGAGTGTGAAAAAACTAAAACTCTCCTGTCATTAACTTAAAAAATATATATATACATATACATATATATATTACTTGATCTTACCTATCTCCACTAACCTCATGTCTTTGGACTGTTGGATGCCGGAGTACCCAGTAAACTAATCTTAATTAAACAAATTAGTTTAACCCTATCATGCATGAATTATTGACAACCTCAATCAGGATTTTTTTTCTTAACTATTTTTATTCATCTCAGGCATGAAAAGATGAATAAAAATACTTAAGAAAACAATAACACTAATTACAATGAAACACGTCATACATCTATAGTAACATTAAACCACCAGTGGGTGGCAGGGTATGGAGTGACAGATGTGCAAGTGTACCATCAACACTGACACAATTACAAGAAAGCAGCCTTTGAATAGCTTTCTACTGTAGTGACCGCTATGCGTGAAAGGGTTAAATGTAATTTAAATTTAATATTAAAAATACACAAGTATTATTATTATTATTATTATAATTATTACTGAAGTTTTGAGTCTGTGCTGCCAAACATTAATAACACTTAATGCCATATCCAGCACTTATTTACTGCTCTATACTGTAGTGGTTAACACTTTCACCTACCAAGCCAAAGACCCGTCGTTTGATCCCGGGAGGAGATGCAAAATGTTACTAGTGTAAAAAATGATGCCTGCTGGGGTTTGCAAACAATCCTGAAAAATCTCAAGTACAAACATTATAGTCAGACATTTATTTATGTACTTTAACAAGTACAACACCATGAGGTTGCAGCCCTTCAAATTTCATACACACATGACATTTTGGCATACATGCACTGCTAATTTGGACACCATAGTTGTGTAATACCACTACTTTTTGCATCCCCCCGATCTGCTTTGTGTGAACGAACTGAACCTATTTGATGGATTTGTTGAACTCTCAAGCACTCTGTTTGCTCATTTTGCTCAGAGCTTTACTGAAAAGCGGTCTGTGTGAAGAAGGCAAGTGCCTGCAGGTTCATTTAATTTCATTCAAATACAGCCGAGCAGTTTGAAAGACAGCACTTTCTTTCATCTCCGAAAACTTCAAACAACACTGATTTTGCTGCGAGGTGTTGAAGATGGGGTCAAATACGTACTGATGCAAAGGGAAGTAACCGAGCAATTTACCTCACTGAAGAACGGGGCCCTCATAAATGTCACACTTTCCTCTGTTTCTTTGTTGGTTCATGGAGAGTTTCCCCTGTCCTGTGCATACGAGCCTCTCACAGGGTCCTAGGT